AGTATTCACAAATCACCTCCACAATGTATACAACAAGCTTGTTTAACACCAGTAAATGATTCTAACTTTAACATTAAGTCTAACTAACTAAATCAATACTAGGCCTAATCCTTGTGTTTTGTACTTGGTGTTGTTCACGTTAAAGAGAAATCTGCCTCCTTGACAGGAAATGAGAAATGCTAGCACGTGCCCGTGAAGATGTTTGTGCTGGAGAGGGGAATACTTAAAGGAAGTCCGCACTGCCTTCTGACATCAAAGAATGGGGGGAAAAATAACCCACCTCTGGAGAGCGATGGTCAGATGTAGCCAAGGTTAGCCTTGTGCACTTCTCACACTATACCTGTCACTATACTAAATTATGCATATTCAGTCATGTCCACAGTGTGTTCCCTGAATTTATACCACAACATGTTAGATATCAGTAACACCCGTCATCAGTCAGATAGCCTACAAGTACATTGATCTTCTTGTCGTAAATACTCATGAACCATGACAGCTGTTATGACACTCCTATGGCAGTGTGACGTAGGTTGTGTACTAAATCTCTTCAATTTATTACATTGTAATAGATTTTTCATCTATCCACTACTGCAGATGAGCTGTCAATCATCATATTTCTCTGTCTGAAGTGTCAGTCAGTGGAGCTCAGAGGACACATCTATTGGGCTGAAGTTGGCATAGGTACAGTTCTAGGATCATCTTACCCTACTTGATTCTAACCTGGAATATTTTAGGGAAAACTCAAAACTGACCTTAGATTAGTGTCCAACTCAGTTTGGCTCTAGGGATGATACCATATTGCTGGCTGGATAAAGCAGGAATTCACCAATGGTTCCTCAAACAGATGAGTATTGGCAGACTGTCATGGCAGTGTGCATCCTCATTTGCATACTTGTACCCATTTTACCAGCCCTGGTTCTTTTGCTCAAACAGGCCCACAGGGTAGAGCCAAGCTGAACAGCCATCTCTGCTGTGCCAAGCTGCATGAATGGGCAGGACTAGATACATCAATTAGCCCTGTGTGCCCTGCCAAATACCAGGAGAGGGCACAGCTGAATTCTCACATCTACTCTCTGACATGCACAAGCTTGCTTGAATAGCTTACAATATGCATAAACTAGATTAAAGCCTATTCACTCTTTCGCTTTTATTATGAGTGGAATGGTTTGTAATGTATGTCACGTTCGAGGTTCATCCAATATGATCAGAATGTAATTTTGAGAATAATTTGTTTGTCTTTATTACTCACACAATGGAATAGGTACAAACTAACAATTTGCAATGCAGTGTATTCAAGGTTTAAAAAGGCTTCTGAAGTTTGTAATTTCCACCTTGAATTTTTGGACTTAAAAAGTGTATTTATATAAAAATCCACATATAATTCACATTTCCTGTTTCTGCAGGATTATTTTCCTGCTGTAGCAAACTGGCACAAATTAAGATCCTACATAGGTATATGGCTCTGGTTCAAATAATGTAGAATTACATACAGCAGAGAGGAACTTAGTCATTGTTCCCTTCCCTCAGTGTACACTTACAAAAGGAGTTTACTGCGGCGGGGGAAGAAAGTTACTCCAACTGTAAACTGATGTCATTTTTCCTATTACCCTACTTACTGTTTGGTTTGGAACAATAGTCATACCGTATAAAATCTAATACTCAGAACTTGAATGAATTAAACATTGTCAAAGGCAGCTTTCTTCCTGGAGTCAGGGTAGCAGCATGTGGAAATGCAGCACAGGCTGATTTAAACCCATTTAAAGACTATTGTTGGGAATAGCAGCAATCAGTGGATTGTTTTACGTCACAATGTTGGTCATAAACGGCAGCTAACGCACCTATTACCATGACTCACCTACAGAATTATAGAGATGCTGGAACACATGGGAGAAAAGAAGATCACTTTTAAGACAATGGGAGAAAAAACACTCACAGCTGGGCTCACATACAGAACGTACTCATGCGCACACACACAGAAACACACGCTAACACTCACACATAGAGAAACTAACTGGACAGTTTCATGGCCCCTTCAAGTTTCACAGAGTTTGTCCTGACAAGTTTTGCTTTGACTACTGTGTTTTCTTCATCTGGCGGTCGATGAATGTGCAGAACAGCTCAGCAAAGTGAGTAATACTCAGCATAGCTTTCTCTGTCTTTTTGTGCCAATGTGGTGGGAGGCATCAACTACAAAGGTTCCCTGACATTTGATTTGCAAGGGCCTTTTAATCCCCTGATATCCACTATGTATTGCTGTGAGAGAACATCAAGCAATATTTTGTTGGAGCTGAATACAGTTTACTTTTAAAGAAGCCGTGAGTCACACTTTCGTCCAGAGAAAACTTGTGACGATAGTTGAGGGGAAAAGATCCCTTTTGACACCCCCAGCTTAGGTCTCGCTCATGCTAAGCTTGTCTGCACTGGTTTGGATTTCTCTGCTGACAACATGACATGAAGCAGCAGAAAACAGCTTGTGTCTAAAAAAGCGAAAGAAGTTGCAGAATCTGAAGTGAAAGGCTTTTTGTCAAACACGGACAGTCCCAAGAACATCTCTGAACTCTTTATGTGATGACTGAACACCACTATCTAAATTGTTTTTTAAATTAGGTCTGCTCTGCTGTAAATTAGAGAAGTTAGTTAAGAAATCCTCTAAGGTCGTGCCACTGGGCCTGTCTCTTATGCTGACTCAATGGGAGTTGGATGAAGTTGCCCCTAGAAGCTGATCTATGGTCAGTTTGGTATTTTACCGTCTAATGGTTGAGGTTAGGGAGGGTCAGCTGATCTTAGATCTGTGCCAAACAATGAGGTTCCAACATGCAACTCTAACTTACTTTTCCTTCTACGGAGGATGAGGTTCGCCTGAAATGTGTTTGGACGTGGAGAAGAGGGGGTATATTGGTCTTGGCGTGCTTGGCATGCATGTCTCATTTGACAGAGTTTATTTCTGTGACTCTGACCGAAGGATCCACTGACTCCAGAGGCTGTTGATTTCAAACTACATGATCTGAGACCTGGAAGTGTTATAAATAATTTCTGTACTTGTACTTCCTGCCTTGTCTAGTTGTGTGTTCACGTTTATGCATGAGGATCATGTTTAATTTACCTTCAGGACAGTCATTCAAGATGGATATCCAAGATGACAAGACAACCATTTTAAAGACATCCCCTTTCAGCTGTAAATATCTCATGGTTCACTGACACTCTCGGGCTCTGCATTTAATAATAGATCCTGTCAACAAAAGACAAGTAACTTTTTAGAAAGGGAATTAGTGGTGGTAAATGTCATCAATGTTAAAACGCAATGACAGTGAAAGCTATTCTTTTGGTTATCATTATCATTAATGCTATGCTATGCTATGCCGGACATCTGTGAATGATCTTGTTAATGAATGGTGAGCTTCGTTATAACAGAATGAGCCCCGTTATGAAGCGACAGACAGAGCTGAGGTCAGAGGCAGGCTGACGAGAAGAACCAAGACAAGGACCATGTTGTCACAACCACTGTATGTCTCTCTCTCTCTTATGTAACCAAAGTTCTTCCCATAGAAATAGAGCTAAACCCATTTCTATGGATACAGAGTTAAGCAAGGTGAAAGGAATTTTATAGGATCTCTATGGGAAAGATGATCTTAAGAGTCAAACAGGAACATCGAGCATTGATGTAATAATAACCTTGCCATCATTTTACCACAGGTGGTGTGATGTGAGAGTGTGTGGGGGGTTGTCCTTACAAAACAACTTTTCGTTTGAACGGCTATCATTTGAGAGAGCAAAATAATGGACAACCTGACTATATAAATTCAGTATAAATTCTCAAACATTACTTCTGTCCACCATCTCAACAACCAATTCAAGCAGCTATTTCCTGTGAGGAACTAAAAGTATTGTGTTCTTTTCCAGTTGCAATGCCAATGTGACAAATGTTGCAGTCTGAATCATCTCCAAGCTTCCTCGATGCAACAATGTGCTTTACCAGACCCTTGACTCAATTTTCTGTTCCCTGACATGTGAGTGAGCTGGAAACAGCTGACGTGATAGGAAACTAGTGAAATGTAGGAATGTAAGTGGATAAAGTACAATGTATTGCCTGAGGCTTTGTGGAATTCATTCTGTCAGTATTTAAAAGGTCTTCATCAAAACACCAGGGAAAAATGTTTTACCTGGGAAGAGTTTTACTCAGAATAGCAAACATTTTACAGCAATCTTTGACAGTAAATGCTTGAAATAAAGCACTTAAAACCAATAAGGTGTATGTGAACCCCAATAAGTCAGTCATATCATAGTACGTATGTTTAGAAAAAGTTATTTATTTATTAAATAAATAATGCACTTTTGTACACAATAAGTTAATTATTCCTATGTCTAACAGAGAAATGGCTCTTCTTGTATAATCAATGTCATTCCCCCCTCCTTCCCAGCCTAACACAGCCTCAGACAGCCATGTCCATCTGTCCTCAGAGAATGAATCAAGTTTGAAGTTAGTGTTTCTTCACAAATACAGCCTCCCCTGCCTCTGCTCTGCAGAAGTGCTGTGTACATTACAGTCCTCTAGTCCAGCTCCACTTACACATGGAGCATCCATCAGCCCTTATGGTTCTACTGTCATTAGAAAAACAACAACAACATAAACTTTATCTGGTCCCAGCCCAGTGTTACTTTCCTTTTCACTTCCACGCTTCCCTCTTCCTCAAAATCGGATGGGTTTCACATTCGTACCTCCATCCCCTCATCATAACATCCAGTCTTCTTATCTTCCAACTATCAACATACAGATCAGCCCTTTCTGTCCTTTCCAGAGTTTGTCCATCAAGATTCAGCTGCACCTCTGCTGATAGATTTGCAAAGGTTATCAATCAGTAGTCCATTGCTTTACACAGGTCTGACCCCATACACTGTCCTTTCGCCTTGCACTGCTTCCTGGTTCTGTTGCAGCGCTGCAGTAGCATGTTGAAGGAGGTCCGTCAGTATAAATGGTCCCCTGCATTGTGCTGCTTCATGGTTCAGTTGCAGCGCTGCAGCAGCATGTTGAGTGAGTACTCCATGCGTTGGCGCAGGTCTGCGGGGCAGCCGGAGGTGAGCAGGGAGCTCAGTCTGAAGGTGGAGGACACACGCTCCTCGTTGATGTATGTCAGCATGTACTCCTCCCTCTGGGTGCACAGGATGATCTTAGTGTGGTCATGGTAGAAGTTGACCTGTTAGAGAAATATATGGATATATATGGTTTAATAAAGTACTGACAGGATAGGACATAGAACAAATAGCATAGTACCAACATTACTGGAGATATTAGACCCACTTTGGGATACTGATGACCAGTGTGCCTGAAATGTGCCATGTGTTAGAATAAGCTCATTTTGTCTGAAAATCGATGTGTCTGATTTGAATATTTACCTGAAGGGTTCTGCTGATTTACCGAAGCTGCACTGTATCATGTATTTCTTGGCTGAGTAATGTCTATTTTGCCTGTGATGATGATTATGACGACAGTGATGATGATGAGTGTGTTTACCTGAAATGTGCCGTCGTTGAAGAGCATCATGAGGGCACGGTCAGACTTGAGCCACTGCAGCAGGTAGATTCTGGGCATGTGTGTGTCTGCCTGGCTCACCAGGTCTCCACCCTACACAGCAAACACAGGAACAGGTTCATCATTAGACTGAGAGAAGACTAGGAAAGGAAAGAGGGGGGTGGAGGACAGGAAAGGATAGGAGGAGAAGGAAAGGAGAGTGGAGCGGAGCAGAGGACCGGGAGGTGAAGGTGGGGAGAGGAAGAAAGGACCGGAAAGGAGGAGAGAAAATGAGGAGATAGTAACAGTAGGAAGAAATTGAGAGGATAGATAGAATAGATAGGTTGCTGAAGATAGGAACAACAGGAAAGGAAAAGAGAGGAGCAGAGGATGAGAGGAGAGGCTATAGATGCTATTTGGGGAATACTTACATCCATCAGGTTCTCTTCCATGTAGTGGGCGAAGTACTTGAGGACGGTCACCTGACCTACAAAGTGCTCAGGGACGTCAGAGGTGGAGAACACAGAGCACTGACCCAACTCAGCATAGTAGTGGACAGTCCTACAGACAGAGAGAGAAGAGAGAGAGAGAGTTAACAACCGAAATAAACACCTGTTGGGTGTTTATTTATGCATGCCAAACAGATTGATTTTATTTATTTATCAGAGTATGACAGCCTAAAGGACAAAAATACCTTCTATGACTTTTTGTTTACTTTTACATCTGAAGCTGGGAGTGCTTTCCAGTACAGCCCAACTAACGTATCTCCAACTAAGGTATGAGTGATGTATTGTGTGATAAAGAGAACAGAGTACGTACTTCTTGTCTGCGAGGAGGCTCATGTGTGTCCCGTTGTTGAACAGAACTCCCACTATGTGGTCTGAGAGCTGGTAGCCAAAGCCATACTTGTTGGAGTAGTCCACCCACTTAGTGACCCACTGCAGGTTACTGCACTCTGTCCCTTTAGGGATGTCATCCGCTAGAGAGAGAGAGAGAGGGAGAGGAAAGGTATTTGTGATTAAAACACAATTATAAACTGGGTGGTTCGAGCCATGAATGCTAATTGGCTTACAGCCATGGTATATCAGGCCGTATACCATGGGCATGATAAAACATTTAATTACATTGGTAACCAGTTCATAATAGCAATAAGGCACCTCTGCGGTTTGTGGTATATTGCCAATATACCACGGCTAAGGGCTGTATCCAGGTGCTTAAGAACAGCCCTTAGCTGTGGTATATTGGCCATATACCACACCCCCTCGGGCCTTATTGCTTAATTCAACCATATGCAATAACAAAGGGAGTCCCACTTCATCATATCATATAAGTTCCATTGGTGTTGGAATCATTTCTTTACATGGTAGTAAGTACTACAGTGTAATTACACTGTACCTGCCTAATGTCAACAAACTCAGCTGTGCAATAGGCTTACCTTTGGGCAGGTTTTCCAGGCATCCTCTGAGAACGCTGGCGACTGTCTCAGCCACACTGCCAGTGGTGCTGTCCTCAAGACATTCACTACTGCTGCTGCAGCTACCCAGACTGCCCCTGACGATAAGCCGTATGGTGTCTCGCGTCATCGGGGGCAGGCCCTCGGTTGACGGGGCGACCGGCCTCCCAGCAGATGGTGACAGTGGCCTTCCATCCTGAGAGGAGAAGAAAAAGGGAGGGGTTAAATAACATAGCCTCACACTTTCCTTTATCATGACTTTCTATTTTATTTTGATCATGACTATCACCTCACCTCAGTCATGTCTTTGGTCTGCTGGCTGATGACCGTCTTCTTCAGGTCATGTCGAAGCTTGTAGATCTCCTCTTCCTCTTTGGTCAGTTTATCTACCAGAGACAACAATACACAGTCAGCATTCATTCTGGATGGCCTCACCCTGCAGCCTCTCATTCAAACCAGATGTGTGATTAGCTAGGAAATTTGCCAACAACTATCATAGCTAAATCTGTGGATTTATGACACCACAGCTTTTATCACCACTTGTTAATTAGCAAAAATGTTGAATGTCCTTTTATGAGGTAAACAAATACTGATTTATTAATTGCCGACATTGGCTAAGGCTGTCTTGCGAGGTGAATGATTGATATACTCACTCAGAGTCTCGTAGTATTTGACCTTGTCTCTTTTCCCGCCGAAGAGGGCGGCCGCGGCCTTCTTGAAGAAGCTCTTGGCAGGGCTGGAGACGTGGAAGTCTGGAGCGGAGTGGCAACAACTAGCAGGGAGACGCTCTGGCACGAAACCCTGAAATGAGGGAGGGAGAGAGGGGGAGAGCGAGAGATGTTAAGAGAATAATGGATAACAGATAGTTGAATAAAAACATATCACAATATACAAGCAGGAAGCAGGATGTTAAAAATAAACTAGGTTTGCAGTCTCATTCTCCATATGGTACAGAGAGAGCAAGATAAAGGGGTTGAGCTAACTCACCTGTGTGAAGAAGTCATGGCGCAGTATGTGGTCCAGGCGAGGTCTGTCCTCTGGGGTCTTGGCCAGGAGGTTGGAGATGAGCTGTTTGGCCTGGGGCGACAGGGAGGAGGGCAGGGAGTAACATGCCTCCCGGATACACCTGTACGTCTCCTTCAGATTGGTGGTCTCAAATGGGGGTCTGCCCAGGAGCATGGTATACCTGGAGCACAGAGGAGGGGGAGAGACTTAGTTAGAGACTGGTTGTCATTACAGTCTATTTACATAGAGAATATCATTTTACAGAGCCCTCTATTGACAAGAAAGGTATAAATATAGTAGTGTACTCACATGACACAGCCCAGGGCCCAGACGTCCGACTCACAGCCATGGCCTTGCTTGTTGAGCACCTCAGGGGACAGGTAGTTGGGCGTCCCACAGATGGTCTTTTTCCTGTTCCCAGCAGACTCCAGCTTGGCTGCCAGCCCAAAGTCTCCCACCTTCAGCTCCATCGACTCATTCACAAAGAAGTTACCTAGGAGGGGAGAAGATTACAAATATTAAACCATTTACTGTATGTGAGTGATCAATAACATAAAGTGGTTGGTTTGCAGTTCATGACAGGTAAAGGTTGCAGGTTTGGATCTCTCTGCATATAGTGTTTGGCAGAGCCGATTTAATGATAAAGACTCTGGCTTCTACTGTGTGTCTTGCTATATAGATGCTTACCCAGTTTGAGGTCTCTGTGCAGGATCTCTTGTTCATGCAGGTACTTCAGCCCTGAGATGATCTGACGGAGGTAGTATCGCACTTCAGGCTCCGTGAGCACTTTGCGTGCCTTCAGGATGTGTGCCAAAGACTGCACAAAGAGAACATGGGGGAGAATACATATTAGATCAGTCAAGGCAGTCAGCCAATTATGGAAAGTAAGAACATATCTTTCACATTAGCCAGAGACATGACTGCCCATTGAGGGCTGTGGTTCTGAGGTGCTGCTATGCAGACATTTCTCCAACCAGTTTAGAAATAAATGCTCAGTATTTAAGTAGAACATTAACACTCACTCTTCTACTGCAGTATTCTAGGAGAATGTAGATGTTATCTTTGTCCTCGAAATGATGGTAAAAGTGCACGATGTGTTTATGGTGGAGAACTCTGTGTAGCTCGATTTCCCTGTCAATCTATGGAGAAGAGATATCATAGTGATGATTAAAAGCAATTAATTATCCAAAAGTCCAGGACATTTAGTGTCAGTCTATATAGCTTTATAATAATGCATGATGAAGAGTGGCGCGCGCTCTTACCTTTTCCCGTTGGTGCGGTTTGGAGACGCGCGTGTGGGGAATAATTTTTGCTGCATAAACTTTACTCGTGGACAGGTCGGTCATCTCATAGCACTTGGCGAAACCTCCCTGAAAAGAAAATAACACATTCATATTGGTAAGCTTATTTACCAAGCTAATTAAAATTGTGCATATTTTGGAATAACAATGTACTATTCCCAAAGTGAAGATTTATAAAGAACCATCTTGTCTTTGCGTAATTTGCGTTGTATTATAATTCACTGATGGCTACCTTTCCCAGAACTTTCCCACGGCAGTAACATTTCCCGCTGGCGTGATCCGTGACAATCCTCGCCATCTCCGCAGGTGCATGACCGCGATCCTCTGTTCTCTTTCTCCGCAGTTCACAGGACCCCTGCTGGTTGGGCTCGCACATCCTGTTGCTATTCGTCGGCTGTTCAGCGATATTCCTAAGTAATTCCATTGCGAGGCGGTGTCTTCACTGCTCGTACTCTGAATGCAGTCCGGAGAGGCTGTGTGTTTGGGTTTATATGGAAGCACCGGCCCTGGCTCTCCGACGTCACGCTGGAGAATGTTCTATGGAAGAGTTTCCCAAACTCCGTCCTGTGCCCCCCCTTGGGTGCACGTTTAGTTTTTTTGCTCTAGCATTACACAGCTGTTTTTTTTTTTGGGGGGGGGGGACAAGCAAAATATTGATAACAACTAATGTGATATTTGGGTGAATCAGTAATAAAAACGAATTATTAAATCATGTGCTTTGTAAAGTACATACAGTAATACATGTATTATAAAATCATATGCATTGCTACAGCTTATAGAAATGCTACTAAGTTGTGAATACAACTATGGATCTAAAACCGTAAAATGTAAATATATATATTTTTCAAATGAATTCATCTATGGCTCTCTCCCACTCTGATCTTAATTTGAATCTCTAGCACCATCTGGTGGTTTTACAGACCTCCAGGTTGAAAGAGTATTAGGATCTGACAGAATGTCAGAGCAGATTACCATAGTCCTTGCTTGGATGCTTTAGCCAACTCCTGTTCTTTGGATGGGGAGGGGATGTGGGCTTTGCACGTCCCACGTTAGTCAGGAGACAGAAGCAGTCACAGGGGGTGGAAAGGTTTGTGAGTCCCAAATGACACCCTGGGTCAATGTGATCATAAAACCCACAGAACTAAAGTTAATCTACACACCACAGAGTACCCATGTACCCATGCTTCCCTCACTGGCCTACTACTGTTTCTCTGCTCTCTCCTGCCTGCTTGGCACGTGGAAACACAATACAATTAACGTGCCTTTTTAGTTAGAGTGGGGATGATATGAAGTCAGCCAAATGCTGGGCTCTCTATGTCATACTCTGACTTCTATATGACTGTGCACTATAGTCAGTACAGTGATCAGCTTGGATAACTCTTCAAGCATTTTCCATAGTATCCTCCTGTATGAACTCAGTCGAAGTGAAAATAACTAGGAAATGCTGTCAACAACATCCAGAAAATAAAATTGAATTCATTTATTTCACAGTTTCAACCTGTTTCAACAGTTTGCAACCTTACTTTCACATCACAGTGGGTAAGACTTATTTACAACATTCTTTCCAATGCTCTGCATATGTCCTATGAGGACATACAGTATCTGGCACCTGGTTTAATCAAAGTGTAAGGACATGTTTATAATACGTTTCCTCTACATTTGAGGAACGCACCTCACCCTTCATATATTGTTCACAGTGGCGATTTTAGCATTTCAATCTTGGTGGGGCAAACTCCCCAACATTTTTTTTAGATGCATGCCAGCAAAGCCACTACACAACACAACACAACACTAAACAATACATTAATTGCACTATAACGGTGACAAACAGTGCCTACAAACTGTTAGGACCTACATAAATCTGTCCCAACAGCAGAGTCCCAACACCTTACCACTGTTACACCTGGCTATCAGCGGAGCCTTGTCTGGCAGCGAAACAGTTCATTCAGCCTCTTTTACTGCCTTTAAAAAAAACATAGCTTATATGGCTGACTTGCTTAAACAAATGTGGTTTCTACTGACAATTGAGATGTACAAACTATGGCATAAGGGGACGACAAGCGGATAAGAGGCAATCCGTAATTTTGATTAAGACATTAATGAGCGAGCTAGGACGGACATAGTCAATATAACTATAACTAGAGAACATTGCCAACCCCTACTCTCCGTATTTTCCGCTGGCTGCCCCACCACCACAGAAAGCACTGAGCTAGGCTGAAACACCTGCATTTTGGAGCTGCCTTACTCAAGAAAGCAAAAAAGAGACCAAGTTTGTATGCGAATGTATTAACTTAATGATTATAATTTTTTACATTGTTTGCAAACTGATATGTGACACGTATTAATGCCAAAATAACATATTTTTTTATCTAAACAGGTGGGGTTCTGCCCCACCTGCCCTGAATGACGGGCCGCCACTGATTGTTCAATAGATCAACAAATGAAATGTGTACAAGAGGCAGTTGGCAATATTGGGTTTGTGGTTTGATCGGGGTGTTAATGACCCTATATTGGGTTTGGTGTGAACCAGTGAATGACATTAGGATTGAATCAAGCCAGCGATAATGTCACAGTATGATGTCATAGGGTCACGCATGTCGACTAACCCAGGGCTGATCGCACAGTGCTGATGTCATAGGCCTGGACCTGGTCGAGGCTGTCGCCCTGCGAGGCTCGGTGGGGCCAATGAGGGAAGGGGAAGCGGCAGGCGATGACACATGCATCGTCAGGAAGCTCCCTCAGCAGCTTCTCACCCAGCACCTCCATCTGAGGACCAATCAGAGAGACTAGTTTTAGTCATCAACCAATCAGATCAACACTCTCTAACCAAATGATCCAGCACACCTAATTATTTTTTAATCTGATTTAAGACTCTATTATAACAATAGAACATCCGCTGCAGAGAGCAGGAATTGTTCTTGCAGTGTGTTGGTCTTGTGTGGCTGGAACACCTACCACTCCAGGGGCCAGAAATACAGTGACGTTGTTGTAGTTTGACAAATCAATCTGTCAAATGAAAGAGAGAGAAATAATTTAGTAAAGAGTATGTGTCTATTAAACATTCTCATGTTAGAGAGCTATACTGTACCTTCCAGAAGTCCTTGTTGACTAAGTTTGCCTGGCTTGTTGGCACTCCTGTCCAGCGTGCTTTCCCTCTAGCATACACCAGCAACATGGAGTTGATCTCAAATCCAGTGCACTGGAGGTCAACAGAGGTAGCAGCAAACACCTAAAACAAGAAGGTACAGTGAAGTTGAGTCATACAACTACCTGTAGCAGAAAAGTGAGTGACTCACTTGACTATAATTTTTCTGTTGCCAGTTGTCACCACCACACAAGATCCCTTGCTACAACAGAAAGAAACGTAAGTGACAGACTTGGTTTGTGTCCCAAATGGCATCCTATGCCCAATATGGTCAAAAGTAGTACACTATATAGGAGACAGGGTGCAATTTAGGACACATTCTCTATTGTTTATAGCTGGGTGGTTTATTTCACCAGAGCCAACTCACCAGTCTCCCGTCTCCTGACCCCAGATCAGCCAGTTGGCCTCTGCGTCCCTCCAGCAGCTTCATGGCGTTTACGGTCTGAGCTTTACTCGAGGGCAGGTAAGGCACCTGTATGTGAATAATAATGCCAGTCAATGAGTGTGAAAAAGGATTGCTATAACAGAGGATACAAAATTGGCCATAATATGGGAGATGGGTAGCCTGGTCCCAGAATCTGCTCTTGCCAACTAAATTGCTCATTGTCAAGCCAAACTTGACAAGCAGTTGGCAGGATAGCACAAACTGACTGGCCCTCAGTCTAGGAAACTGGGTGTGTGGGAGACTAATATTTCCCCCAATGAGTTGTATATAACTTTTTAATTGGTTCTAGGTAGGAAATACTTATCCCTTGAGCTTTTACAGTTGTAGGGGATTGAATGGAGACTTCCTATTGCCAACAATTCAGCTGCAGAGGTGGAAAAAGCCTTGAAAAGGTCCTTGCACATACAAGATGGAGACATCACTGACCCAGCATAAGCACAGACAAGACTTTCATGCCAGAGTTGTAAACATTTAGCAATCCGATCTATCTTCCATTCTTTATAGCCCTGAACCCCCCAAATCCCTTGGTTTCTATTACCCCAATTCTTGATAATCTGCTCCTGACCATGAAGTGCTCTTGTCTGATGATGATTAACTGATGGTAAAGAGAGTAGCACAGGATCCATTAAGCAAAAACAATGGATCATGGGGTAATACAGTACCAGTCAAAAGTTAATTCAAGGGTTTTTCTTCATTTTTTACTATTTTCTACATTGTAGAATAATAGTGAAGACATCAAAACCATGAAATAACACATGGAATCATGTAGTAACCAAAAAAGTGTTAAACAAATCAAAATATATTTTAGATTTGAGATAGTCCTATTTGGTAAAAGACCAAGTCCATATTATGGAAAGAACAGCTCAAATAAGCAAAGAGAAACGACAGTCCATCATTACTTTAAGACATGAAGGTCAGTCAATACGGAACATTTCAAGTACTTTGAACGTTTCTTCAAGTGCAGTCGCAAAACCCATCAAGCGCTATGATGAAACTGGCTCTCATGAGGACCTCCACAGGAAAGGAAGACCCAGAGTTACCTCTGCTGCAGAGGATAAGTTCATTAGAGTTAACTGCACCTCCGATTGCAGGCCAAATAAATGCTTCACAGAGTTCAAGTAACAGACATATCTCAACATCAACTGTTCAGAGGAGACTGTGTGAATCAGACCTTCATGGTCGAATTGCTGCAAAGAAACCACTACTGAAGGACACCAATAAGAAGAAGAGACTTGCTTGGTCCAAGAAACACGAGCAATGGACATTAGACAGGTCTGATGAGTCCAAATTTGAGATTTGTGGTTCCAACCGCCGTGTCTTTGTGAGACGCAGAGTAGGTGAATGGATGATCTCCACATGTGTGGTTCCCACTGTGAAGCATGGAGGAGGAGGTGTGATGGTGTGGGGGTGCTTTGATGGTGACACTGTCAGTGATTTATTTAGAATTGAAGGCACACTTAACCAGTATGGCTACCACAGCATTCTGCAGCAATACGCCGTCCCATCTGGTTTGCGCTTAGTGGGACTATCATTTGTTTTTCAACAGGACAATGACCCAAAACACACCTCCAGGCTGTGTAAGGGCTATTTGACCAAGGTGAGTGATGGACCTGGCCTCCACAATCCCCCGACCTCAACCCAATTTAGATGATTTGGGATGAGGTGGACCACAGAGTGAAGGAAAAGCAGTAAACAACATTTACATTTACATTTACGTCATTTAGCAGACGCTCTTATCCAGAGCGACTTACAAATTGGTGCATTCACCCTATAGCCAGTGGGATAACCACTTTACAATTATTATTATTATTATTATTATTATTTATTTTTTAGGGGGGGGGGGGGGTAGAAGGATTAGTTTATCCTATCCCAGGTATTCCTTAAAGAGGTGGAGTTTCAGATGTCTCCGGAAGGTGGTGAGTGACTCCGCTGTCCTGGCGTCATGAGGGAGCTTGTTCCACCATTGGGGTGCAAGAGCAGCGAACAGTTTTGACTGGGCTGAGCGGGAACTATGCTTCCGCAGAGGAAGGGGAGCCAGCAGGCCAGAGGTGGATGAACGCAATGCCCTCGTTTGGGTGTAGGGACTGATCAGAGCCTGAAGGTACGGAGGTGCCGTTCCCCTCACAGCTCCATAGGCAAGCACCATGGACTTGTAACAGATGCGAGCTTCAACTGGAAGCCAGTGGAGTGTGCGGAGGAGCGGGGTGACGTGAGAGAACTTGGGAAGGTTGAACACCAGACGGGCTGCGGCATTCTGGATGAGTTGTAGGGGTTTAATGGCACAGGCAAGGAGCCCAGCCAACAGCGAGTTGCAGTAATCCAGACGGGAGATGACAAGTGCCTGGATTAGGACCTGTGCCGCTTCCTGTGTAAGGCAGGGTCGTACTCTCCGAATGTTGTAGAGCATGAACCTGCAGGATCGGGTCACCGCCTTGATGTTAGCGGAGAACGACAGGGTGTTGTCCAGGGTCACGCCAAGGCTCTTCACACTCTGGGAGGAGGACACAACGGAGTTGTCAACCGTGATGGCGAGATCATGGAACGGGCAGTCCTTCCCCGGGAGGAAGAGCAGCTCCGTCTTGCCAAGGTTCAGCTTGAGGTGGTGATCCGTCATCCATACTGATATGTCTGCCAGACATGCAGAGATGCGATTCGCCACCTGGTTATCAGAAGGTGGAAAGGAGAAGATTAGTTGTGTGTCGTCAGCGTAGCAATGATAGGAGAGGCCATGTGAGGATATGACAGAGCCAAGTGACTTGGTGTATAGCGAGAATAGGAGAGGGCCTAGAACTGAGCCCTGGGGGACACCAGTGGTGAGAGCACGTGGAGCGGAGACAGCTTCTCGCCACGCCACTTGGTAGGAGCGACCGGTCAGGTAGGACGCAATCCAAGAGTGAGCCGCGCCGGAGATGCCCAGCTCGGAGAGGGTGGAGAGGAGGATCTGATGGTTCACAGTATCAAAGGCAGCAGACAGGTCTAGAAGGACAAGAGCAGAGGAGAGAGAGTTAGCTTTAGCAGTGCGGAGAGCCTCCGTGACACAGAGAAGAGCAGTCTCAGTTGAATGACCAGTCCTGAAACCTGACTGGTTTGGATCAAGAAGGTCATTCTGAGAGAGATAGCAAGAGAGTTGGCTAAAGACGGCACGCTCAATAGTTTTGGAAAGAAAAGAAAGAAGGGATACTGGTCTGTAGTTGTTGACATCAGAGGGATCAAGTGTTGGTTTTTTGAGAAGGGGTGCAACTCTCGCTCTCTTGAAGACGGAAGGGACATAGCCAGCGGTCAAGGATGAGTTGATCAGCGAGGTGAGGTAGGGGAGAAGGTCACCGGAGATGGTCTGGAGAAGAGAGGAGGGGATAGGGTCAAGCAGGCAGGTTGTTGGGCGGCCTGTAGTCACAAGTCGCAAGATTTTGTCTGGAGAGAGAGGGGAGAAAGAAGTCAAAGCATAGGGTAGGGCAGTGTGAGCAGGACCAGCAGTGTCATTAGACTTAACAAATGAGGATCGGATGTCGTCAACCTTCTTTTCAAAGTGGTTGACGAAGTCATCCACAGAGAGGGAGAGGAGGGGGGGGGGGGGGGGGGGGGAGGTTTCAGCAGGGAGGAGAATGTGGCAAAGAGCTTCCTAGGGTTAGAGGCAGATGCTTGGAATTTAGAGTGGTAGAAAGTGGCCTTAGCAGCAGAAACAGATGAAGAAAATGTAGAGAGGAGGGAGTGAAAAGATGCCAGGTCCACAGGGAGTCTAGTTTTCTTCCATTTCCACTCAGCTGCCCGGAGCTCTGTTCTGTGAGCTCGCAATGAGTCATCAAGCCACGGAGCTGGAGGGGAGGACCGAGCCGGCCGGGAGGATAGGGGACACAGAGAGTCAAAGGATGCAGAAAGGGAGGAGAGGAGGGTTGAGGAGGCAGAATCAGGAGATTGGAGGGAGAAGGATTGAGCAGAGGGAAGAGATGATAGGATGGAAGAGGAGAGAGTAGTGGGAGAGAGAGAGCGAAGGTTGCGGCGGCACATTACCATCTGTGTAGGGGCAGAGTGAGTAGTGTTGGAGGAGAGCGAGAGAGAAAAGGATACAAAGTAGTGGTCGGAGACATGCAGGGGAGTTGCAGTGAGATTAGTAGAAGAGCAGCATCTAGTAAAGATGAGGTCAAGCGTATTGCCTGCCTTGTGAGTAGGGGGGGACGGTGAGAGGGTGAGGTCAAAAGAGGAGAGGAGTGGAAAGAAGGAGGCAGAGAGAAATGAGTCAAATGTAGACGTAGGGAGGTTGAAATCCCCCAAAACTGTGAGGGGTGAGCCATCCTCAGGAAAGGAACTTATCAAGGCGTCAAGCTCATTGATGAACTCTCCAAGGGAACCTGGAGGGCGATAGATGACAAGGATATTAAGCTTAAATGGGCTAGTGACTGTGACAGCATGGAATTCAAATGAGGAGATAGACAGATGGGTTAGGGGAAAAATGGAGAATGTCCACTTGGGAGAGATGAGGATTCCTGTGCCACCACCCCTCTGACCAGATGCTCTCGGGGTATGCGAGAACACATGGTCAGACGAGGAGAGAGCAGTAGGAGTAGCAGTGTTTTCAGTGGTAATCCATGTTTCCGTCAGCGCCAGGAAGTCGAGGGACTGGAGGGTAGCATAGACTGGGATGAAGTCAGCCTTGTTGGCAGCAGAACGGCAGTTCCAGAGGCTGCCTGAGACCTGGAACTCCAGGTGTGTGGTGCGTGCAGGGACCACCAGGTTAGAGAGGCAGCAGCCACGCGGTGTGAGGCGTTTGTGTAGCCTGTGCGGAGAGGAGAGAACAGGGATAGGCAGAGGCATAGTTGACAGGCTGTAGCAAATGGCTACAATAATGCAGAGGAGATCGGAATGAAATGAACTAAACATCTGGGAAAGGAGAGAGCGGGGCCTCCCTTACCACAACTCCCAAATATAACTCTCCCAACTTCCACCACAGAAACTATAATTGTTTCACTGAAACACCCGAATAAAACTCTCCCAACTTCCACTTTAGAAATTAGAATTGTTGTAAGCTACAGCGGTTCAATGTTTCAAGGAATAGACTCAACTTACTTTATTCAGCTAGCTAACTATGACGCCATAGCTAACTAGCATGCTAGCATCCAATAACACACGGTTTAGCACCAATACTTGGTTACAACAAACTACCAATAGTGTGTTAACACGCTAAACAGATAATTCGTGTCCGTGTCTAGTTCCTTTCATAACGCAGCAATAATTAAACGTTGGCTAGCTAGCACAAAGATAATGTATTTAGCTGCTACAGTACTGCTAGCGTTGGCTAGCTAGCAATGGCTGCTGTGTTGACTTTGTTTGAGAAACGGCGTCGCTGCGAACGAATGTAGCTGGCTAAAATTATATTGTATTTAGTTGCTATAGTACTGCCAGCTGGTAGCGTTGGCTAACTAGCAATGGCTGCGGTGATGACTTTGATTGAAAAACGGCGTCGCTGCGAACGAATGTAGCTGGCTAAAAGGATATTGTATTTAGTTGCTACAGTGCTGGTAGTGTTGGCTATCTAGCAATGGCTGCGGTGTTGACTTTGTTTGAAAAAACGGCGTCGCTGCGAACGAATATAGCTGGCTAGCTAACCTCGATAGTTACTCTATACTACACCTTTATCTTTGATACAAATACAACTATGTAGCTAGCCAACATTACACTAATCAAATCGTTCCATTGTAATGTAATGTGTCATATCACCTGCGGAGCGAAGTACAGCATGACTACTCACCTCGCCTGCTGCCTACCACACCAACAAGTGCTCAGTATATGTGGGAACTCCTTCAAGACTGTTGGAAAAGCATCCCTCATGAGACTGGTTGAGAGAATGCCAAGAGTGTGCAAAGCTGTCATCAAGGCAAAGGGTGGCTACTTTGAAGAATCTCAAATGTAAAATATAATTTGATTTGTTTAACACTATTTTGGTTACTACATGATTCCATATATGTTATTTCATAGTTTTGATGTCATCACTATTATTCTACAATGTAGACAATAGTAAAAATAAAGAATGAGTAGGTGTTCTAAAACTTTTGACCAGTAGTGTATATACCATGGTATTGTTGAATACTAGTTTCTGATTTTCTTGAAGGGCATTCTAGAGCGTGCATTATTTAAGTGATAATGCCCCAGAAGCCGGTGTTTGGAGGATATATTGGTGCGGGTGTTGTTAGGCCCAAGACCAAGTAAACATAATGCATGGTATATCAGAACGGTAGAATTCAATGGCTTTAATTCATTCTTACATGTTCTATGTTTGAGCTGCTTTTTAAAGCAAAAGTCGAATTGAAAACATTATTGGCATTGCTAAATTCGATTTTTATAATAGCAAGCTAGGACTTATGGTTTGGTTAGCTAAACTAGCAAGTTTGTTTGTTTGGTTACTGTAGCTATCTAAACTTGCTAGCTACTTCAGTGGATGTTGAACACATTTTTACTTGCAAATGAACACATTTCTAGTGGCAAATGTGTTGAATTATAGCCATGGTATAAAAGGGATAATCAACTTGGGGCTCTATGTGTTCTCTGAAAAATAATGCAACTCCGTGGAAGGTTTGTTCCACTCCGCTAGCGCGCTGTGGACAGTGGCGATTTTAGCATGTAAATATTGGTGGGGCAAACAAAACAAAAAAATGTGGGGATACATGCCAGCAAAGCCACTACACAATACAACACTAAACAATACATTAATTGCACTATAACGGTGACAAACGATGCCCACAAACTGTTAGGGCATACAGTGAGGGAAAAAAGTATTTGATCCCCTGCTGATTTTGTACGTTTGCCCACTGACAAAGAAATGATCAGTCTATAATTTTAATGGTAGGTTTATTTGAACAGTGAGAGACAGAATAACAACAAAAAAATCCAGAAAAACGCATGTAAAAAATGTTATAAATTGATTTGCATTTTAATGAGGGAAATAAGTATTTGACCCCCTCTCAATCAGAAAGATTTCTGGCTCCCAGGTGTCTTTCATACAGGTATCGAGCTGAGATTAAGAGCACACTCATAAAGGGAGTGCTCCTAATCTCAGTTTGTTACCTGTATAAAAGACACCTGTCCACAGAAGCAATCAATCAATCAGATTCCAAACTCTCCACCATGGCCAAGACCAAAGAGCTATCCAAGGATGTCAGGGACAAGATTGTAGACCTACACAAGGCTGGAATGGGCTACAAGACCATCGCCAAGCATCTTGGTGAGAAGGTGACAACAGTTGGTGTGATTATTCGCAAATGGAAGAAACACAAAAGAACTGTCAATCTCCCTCGGCCTGGGGCTCCATGCAAGATCTCACCTCGTGGAGTTGCAATGATCATGAGAACGGTGAGGAATCAGCCCAGAACAACACAGGAGGATCTTGTCAATGATCTCAAGGTAGCTGGGAACATAGTCACCAAGAAAACAATTGGTAACACACTACGCCGTGAAGGACTGAAATCCTGCAGCGCCCGCAAGGTCCCCCTGCTCAAGAAAGCACATATACAGGCCCGTCTGAAGTTTGCCAATGAACATCTGAATGATTCAGAGGAGAACTGGGGGAAAGTGTTGTGGTCAGATGAGACCAAAATCGAGCTCTTTGGCATCAACTCAACTCGCCGTGTTTGGAGGAGGAGGAATGCTGCCTATGACCCCAAGAACACCATCCCCACCGTCAAATATGGAGGTGGAAACATTATGCTTTGGGGGTGTTTTTCTGCTAAGGGGACAGGACAACTTTACCGCATCAAAGGGACGATGGACGGGGCCATGTACCGTCAAATCTTGGGTGAGAACCTCCTTCCCTCAGCCAGGGCATTGAAAATGGGTCATGGATGGGTATTCCAGCATGACAATGATCCAAAACACACAGCCAAGGCAACAAAGGAGTGGCTCAAGAAGATGCACATTAAGGTCCTGGAGTGGCCTAGCCAGTCTCCAGACCTTAATCCCATAGAAAATCTGTGGAGGGAGCTGAAGGTTCGAGTTGCCAAACGTCAGCCTCGAAACCTTAATGACTTGGAGAAGATCTGCAAAGAGGAGTGGGACAAAATCCCTCCTGAGATGTGTGCAAACCTGGTGGCCAACTACAAGAAACGTCTGACCTCTGTGATTGCCAACAAGGGTTTTGCCACCAAGTACTAAGTCATGTTTTGCAGAGGGGTCAAATACTTATTTCCCTAATTAAAATGCAAATCAATTTATAACATTTTTGACATACATTTTTCTGTTTTTCTTTGTTGTTATTCTGTCTCTCTCTGTCCAAATAAACCTACCATTAAAATTATAGACTGATCATGTCTTTGTCAGTGGGCAAACGTACAAAATCAGCAGGGGATCAAATACTTTTTTCCCTCACTGTACATTAAGCTGTCCCAACTGCAGAGCTTTCTTTTCAGCACCATGGAGTGAATCCTTACCACTGCTACACCTGGCTATCAGCGGAGCCTTGTCTGGCAGCGAAAGTTAATTCAGCCTCATTTACTGCATTAAAAAAAACCATAGCTTATATGGCTGACTTGCTTAAACAAATGTGGTTTCTACTGACAATTGAGATGTACAAACTATGGCATAAGGGGACGACAAGCGGATAAGAGGCAATCCGTAATTTCGATTAAGACATTAGTGAGCGAGCTAAAGATGGACGTAGTCAATATAACTATTTGTTCAGCACTTTTGAAATGTACAGCGACATAATTCAGAACATGGGCCGTTCTTACAGTGTTCTCCCTGTACACCAGGTCAGAACCATAGGATAAATAAAGGGGGCATATAAGTAGTGAACAATGAAAGCCCTTACAATATTCAATGATTACATTTCTCTAAAACAGGTTATAGGCTACATGTGCACCACCAAGTCAGAACAGTAGGCGAAATTAAGAGGGGAAAATAGACCAAATTATTAGGGTGAGGCACATGGGCTACTAACAGCTTACTACACAACATACACTTAGTATTACTTTCTTAGCTACAGTATACATATCTCCCTGGCATTTTACATCATTTATGCAGCAGCATACAACACATTTCTGGACTCACCTTGTTGTGCTGTGCTCACTTGAACAGGAAGGTGGCGCGGCGGTCCTTCGTGGGCAAATTTTGTTATCAAACTTTGTCATCAAAGTCTGGCATTCTCTGGATTTATGGTGCTTTCAAGACAACTGGGGAAAAAAACAAGGTCGAATCATGATGACGTCAGCGATCTTCAGGTCGAATCTCTAGAAAGAGGCCCGAGTTCCCGACTTACAATTCCGAGTTGAATGACCGTTCAAAACTTATTTCCCAGTCGGAGCTTGTTTTTTCCTAAGTTCCCAGTTGTCTTGAACTCACTGAAGTCAGATTTCCCAGTTCTGAGTTAACAGTTGTTTTGAGCGCGGCAGAAGTCATGCTGGATTGACAGCGTGGCCAATGTTGAATGTTTATCATTTTAAGCTTGGAAAAGAGACCCTTAAACCGAGAGTTGGGACCACACACCCACTCCACTGAATGGCAGGCTAGTGATTGCTTTGCAATGCTTGCAGTTAGCCACTGATTCCTTCCAAACCACTCATTGTTCAATTTGCGATTTTCCAACTTGTTGTGTAATGTTTATGTCCAATGGCCGATGAGCACCGATACGTTTTATCTATAATTTCTCTTCATAATTTATCTTCATATGACAAGGATTAAAAAGGATTTGCCAGTAGATTGTCGACTTGATTCATGATGACTGCTAGCCAAGATTTTGAAAGTATGATGTTGACATGATCAGTCCAATCAAAGCTACTGTAGATATAACGTGATTTGATGTCATTTTATCTGTGGCCAATGACCTTGAGCATTCTTGGATGGGCACTTCTAATGTAACTCTATGGCAGCACCCAAGGGGCTTGAATTTTCGAGCTCTACCCTTAGATTTGGCAGTGAGGTAGTGTCCCCATGAGTGACAGAACACTCATGGGGACACTACCAGTCAAAAGTATGGACACACCTACTCAAAACTCTTGAATGAGTAGATGTGTCCAAACTTTTGACTGGTACTGTATCTATTCTTTGTATTTTTTTGCAAAAAATGTGGGGCTCAAAACAGGTGGGGCTCTGCCTCACCTGCCCTGAATGACGGGTGGCCACTGGTTGTGGAACACACCTTTCCATCATTCATTATTTCCATAGAACGCATAGCCCCTCGTTGATGATTTATATACACTGAGTGCGGAAAACATTAGGAACACCTGCTCTTTCTATGACATAGACTGACCAGGTGAATCCAGGTGAAAGCTATGATCCCTTGTTGATGTCACCTGTTAAATCCACTTCAAGCAGTGTAGATGAAGGAGAGGAGACAGGTTAAAGAAGGATATGTAAGCCTTGAGACAATTGAGACATGGATTGTGTATGTGTGCCATTCAGAGGGTGAATGGGTAAGACAAAATATTTAAGTGCCTTTGAATGGGGTATGGTAATAGGTGCCAGGCGCACTGGTTTGAGTGTGTCAAGAACTGCAACGATGCTGGGTTTTTCACGCTCAACAGTTTCCTGTGTGTATTAAGAATGGTCCACCACCCAAAGGACATCCAACCATCTTGACACAACTGTGGGAAGCACTGGAGTCAACATGGGCCAGCATCCCTGTGGAACGATTTCGACACCTTGTAGAGTCCATGCCCCGACGAATTGAGGCTGTTCTGAGGGCAAAAGGGGGTAAAACGAAATATTAGGAAGGTGTTCCTAATGTTTTGTTCACTCAGTGTATTTGACTTACCAAATGTGTGTTCTACAAATATTTTACTTACCACATAAGCCCCTTTCTTCTTTTGAAGGCATCATGAAGCACACATAGAGCACTCCAAGACAAGCAGCAAAGCATTGTTAAGCCTATTACTTTTTATTGATTTCACTGTACAGTTATAGGGGCCTGAGCACATTCATGTGAATGAGATATGCCTTGAGTCTTCTTGGTACTTTGCGGAAGCCAGGAAGGGCAAACATAGTCCATATCCCGTAGAGGCCAGCGAGCAAAGCCCCAGTGGAGGCTGTCTGGATGGGGTTGTCCTTACTGCCATGGACCATCCTGGAGCCTTGATCCTGGAGGATGAATTCCATAGAGTCCTCCATGATAAACTGTCTCCATTAGGCTACATAAAACAGTGGTTAGCATCCATATTAGTAATTTAGGCCAACCAAAACAGCAGAGGCAACAGTAAGGTAGACAGGGATAGGCTTAATGTCTTGATAAAAATTATTTTGGACACAATCATAAAGAAATACTTGAACACAAGTTTTTACAGGTATTAAAAGTATTTGTGAAGCAATGCAAATGGAGCTTCTCTAATAATGACATTTGCAACGTGTCATAGACATCGAAATGTAATACAGTAATTCAATATCAAGACATGCACATGGCACTATAATCGTGCAGAGTACTTTCTAGAAAAGTTTTGTTTATTAAACTTCAGTCATCAAAATATTTTCTAAGATAAAAATTATGCAAAAAGAACGTGCTACTATATCAATGCCTCCATTAATATTGGTGAGTTGATATTATGCAAGATATTTCCCACATAGTTTTATGCACTTTGATTCTGTAAACCGTATGTTTTATAGAACATACACATTTGCAGAGATATTTGAAGACGAGAAAACGTGTTGTAATATTAAATGACATGCAAGTGGATCCGATCGGTTACTTTATAAGATATTTGCATAAATGTTGCACAGTATATACAAATAGCCTAGAATTTAGTAAAAACGAGCACAAGGCTTACCTCAGTCACCCCCCTGTCTAGCAGCAATCCAGACGGTCAGTGGACACCAATCAAAACGGCCAAAGGCTTAATTCCTTCCCAGGAGATTAATCATTAACACACCCAATCATATCCGTTTTCTGGTACATGGATAGGTCGTTTACATGGATAGGTCGTGGACAACATCTTCTGAATGGACAGCCTATGACATTGCCTGTCTGTCCGATTATATAACTGTTTGGTGTGTCTTGTAGTGTCGTTAAAGGGATAGTTAACCCAAATTACAAAATTACACATTGGTTTCCTTACCCTGTAAGCATTCAAGTCATGGTACCGATATTATAATTTTTCATGCATCATGTCCAAATCATCCGAAAGTTTCGCAAATTGATTGTGAAGCTCAACAAAGTAACTTACAAATTTGAAAATGACACGTGCAAAATGCTAATATTGGTCCCTTGACTTGACTGGGATTTGTGCCGCGAATGCTAAAACCTTAGCATTTGGAAACAGTGCCAGAGAAACTAAACCAAAGCATGGATTGCTGTCATACCTTGTTCATAGACTGCTTACAGGGTAAGGTAACCATTATGTCATTTTGTAATTTGGGTGAACTATCCCAACATTTCAATCAGATATATTTACTTAAACAATTAGATTTTACATAACACCATTTCTTCAAACGTAGGTCATAGGGCAACATGGGAGACTTAACAGTAATATTTATATTCACAATGGCATGTGCAAAATACAGAAAGTTATTGTGACCTTAACTCAAAGACTAATCTGACAATCTGATTCCTCCCAGCATGTTTTTTCTCCTCAGGACTGTAAGAAATATCAACACAGATGACAGGTGTGGTCTAGTTGATCACAACAGTAATCATGGGATAGACTGGTCCAAGAACAGTTTGTGCTCTTGCCAACTGCATTGCTGGCATTGTTTATCATGGCAATGAGTGCCAAGGAGTTAGCATGAAAGCACAAACAGACTGACACTCAGGCTAGTCAGATCGGAAATAGTAACAGAGAACAGGTGTGGTCCAGTTGTCCAGAACAGCAGCCATGGGAGCCTGTCACAGATGATAATGGGCTGAGTGAAATGTGGAGGGGCTGTTGACTAGGATGACATATTATTAAATATTGCATAGTGTGTGTGTGTGTGTGTGCGATTAGATTTCCAGGTCCCAAATACCATGTCTCAATAACTTTGAATGTCAATGTAGGCCTATTTTAAAACAGAACGGTCTTCATACCTATTCGTCACAGTAGGTGAAGTGACAGAAATAGCTACAAATGTGAAATCTTACCAATAACTGGAAAGAAGTCTCACAAAATAAACATTAAAGGGATAGTTCACCAAAATTACAAAATTACATGTTGGTTTCCTTACCCTTCTACTTGGCTAGGGCCTGTTTAATAAGGGCTGGTTTCCTAGCCTGGTCCTGGACTGTCTTAATGGAGAATTCCCATTGGAAGTACATTTTGGTCCAGGTCAGGACAAGGTTTAATCTACACCAGTGTTTGGCATCTATTACTGTAGTTTCAGTCTCAGCATCCTGTGTGTGTGGTGCTGAGATGAGAGGCAGATAGGAGGGAGGTGCAGAATCCAAGCTTGTGCGGCAATATACAAATATTTCCCACATTTTCTCACATCCCCCATCCAAGTATTGCAGTTCCCATAAAGGTCATATGGTATCTAGATGAAAACGTTGACTTTAGAATGACTCAATACACATCATCATTAGGCTAAATGCACATTGTAATTGTGCTTTACATTTCTGAAATGTTATATTGTTTATTCTAAGAGCAAGCATCGTTTTTGGTAATACCACAGAGGAAATTGTATAATTGCCAAAATACTTTATTAGATTAATGAAAATGTTTACAAAAATATCAATTTATGAAAAATATTATAATCTGGAGTTTGTCAAAATTAATGTTGTCAAAGTGACTGTGTTGCATGCTGAATAATGCAGTCACCCTTTTGGCATTATAAAGACTACAAGACCCATATTGTGAACTTTGACGTCGAATGCGCTTACTACGCTTTACAACGAACGAACACTGGCTCGCGCTTGGCCCGGACAGTTCAGCTTCCGAACACAGGGACAGCTCCTAGGTGCTGAAATTGTCGCGGCTCTGAACGAACCGTCTTCTACAGTAAACAATTATTTATATAAAAACATAGCCTGATATATAAACGAGGAAAAGCCACTGACTGACACGAAGCCTTCGAAGCAGGTTGGTTTGCTATGATAAAAAACAAAAAATTCTACATCATGTCAATTTTTTGCTAGACTGTGATAGAATTCCGGAATGAACTTGATTGACCTAAGCTGTATTTCCGATGTTCCAAAATTCTGCAAGGTTTTATCGAATTTACGAGGACTAGCCTACATCTATGTAGCAAAATGGAATAGTGTATTTTCGTCGTCATCATAACATTTCTTAACGGAATTAGCACATAAAACACCTAAAATACTGTGTCCGTATATAGTTAGATTATTGTATCGGTAATAGGACATTTTGTTTACGAAACATTGTACATATATAGTACAGTGTTGTTAATAATGCAGTTTAGGCTTGCTTGATGTAAAACCGAAAGAATTATTCTCCGTTTAACAGAACAGGCACGTGCTTGACATGGCAAATTGCTGATGCACAGTGAAACATTTAGGCTACTAGGAACAAAGATGTCTGCTGTAGCCTAGTTCTAGTTCTATAGAAGGCTGACAAATGCAGACGAATTTCGCAAGAAACATGAACCATTCCACATTTGGTTTTTGTCAATAATTGTTGGATTGTTGAATTGATTGGCGTACCCATTGATAAATCCAAGCCTAATTGATCAGACACCTTCCATACCCTGCTGGGTATGGATTGCTTGTGAAGGATCTGACTGATGTTCATTGGCAGGCACATAGATGTGAGGATGTAGAACACAGGTGGACTCTTCACCTACCCAGGGTGTGTAATGCTCTTCTGGTTTGTCCCACAAAGCCATCTGCCATCAGACACAGTCTGTATGCTTTTAACACCTATCTGAGAGGCTGGTGTGTTGGTGTGTGATCATTTTAATAATATCTTCTTTTACATATCTGTGACGTCCCTCTTCCATGCAACATATCTAAACCTTAGAGTGCCATTTCTAATTCCAATGAGTTTATTTCATATTTGTCATGACCTTTGACACTACGACTCCTGGTCTTTCCAGATGGCTGCCACTCAGGGGACCACTCAAGGGAAGGAGGGCGGGGACCAGAACTTTGACTACATGTTCAAACTGCTGATCATTGGCAACAGCAGCGTGGGTAAAACCTCCTTCTTGTTCCGCTATGCTGACGATGCCTTCACCTCAGCTTTCGTCAGCACCGTGGGCATCGACTTCAAAGTCAAGACCGTCTACAAGAACGACAAGAGGATCAAACTGCAGATCTGGGTAGGTCTGTCGCTAGAGTCCAGGGTACTCACTACTATTCATTCAACTGCAGTATTGGCGTACCCAATTGCCTTAGTTTAGGAATGGTAATTTAGATTGGTTATTTCCCTCGCTGTCAAGATTTGTTAAAACATTCCCCCAAATGTATGTTTGTTAAGTTTAACTACAAGTGTGCATCTAGTCACAACCTGTCACAGGTTAGTCTGCACGTTGGCTGTTAGAAATCTATAACAATGTAGAAGGCAGTATCGTTACAAGCTTTAAGGGATTGGGGTTTATAAATCACTTTAAACCCCAATCCCTTAAAGCTTGTAATGATACTGCCATTCTACATTGTTATATATTTCTAAAAGCCAATGTGCAGACTAGGATCCAGTCACAATAACATGAAATGTGACATTTGACATTAAACATTTGAGGTGGATTGTGCTGCTAAGATGAATGAACGAGGCCTACAGTAATTGAATGCGAGGCAGGGCAGTGTAGAGAACGGAGACAGATGGATGTGTCATTGTTGGCAGGATGCTAATAACCCTCAGCTGAAGAACATCATCACTGAACAACACTCCTCTCAGACTGTGTTCTCCTCCTGTGGGGGTCCAACCTCGCCTACAGCTTTTTTTATTAGGAGATTTGGAGTTCAATGAGTTTCTGAGCACCTCTGAGACAGCTAAGGTTACAATTGAAAGCCTGCTTCCTCCAAACACCCACTCTCTCTCTCCTATAGAGGCAATGCTGTTTGCTGTCATATTTACTGTCTGTTCTGCCAATTCATTGTTCCCAGACAGGACTGTAGCAGTTAATCAGCTGAGGGTTGAATGTAAACAGTTTAAAAAGGGTAATGGGTTTTTGTCAGTTAAGCAAAAACAAGCGGTTCTAACAGAGGCAGGATTGCCAGAGAGAGCATTCAATTGAATAGCTCTAGGTTTTCTAATTGGGCTGTTTGAGTACTGTACTATTCCTGACAAGCCACAGTATACCAGAATTTACCAGTAAGATTCAAATAAGATGGCCAACTGTCACTCTTCACGGACTGTACTAAAGATTCTGTCCATTTCTTGGGCTTATTCACAGTGTAAACTGCTCTGTGGTGCCATGGCGATGCATAAATAAACTCAGTCAGTTTGTTTCTAATGGAGCTCCTGTTCACTGGACTCAGCAGGATTTTTCTGTCTTGCTGTGTCTTTTAGCTAAGAACAAGCAAAGCTGCCCACTCAAATAGCCCCAAGATTAAAAGAGTCATTGTCAAGCACTTGGCCCTGAATCGATAGGGTAGGGAAATGTGTGGATGCATACAGTATGTCTTCAGTATTCAGCCAAGAGGAAAGTCAGCAGTCAAAGCATTGTCTAGATGAATGTTTAATGTAAAGGAATGTCACAGTCTTCAAAAAAAGATAACCATTTGCAGAATAAAAAAAAAGGCTACAATTATTTCCTTAAAAAACATGATATAGAATTAGGTAATGCTATAGGCCTACTGTGCATATTGTATTGTATTGTACAAAAAAATACTACAGTTCATTGTTCACACGGATATATAGACACACACACCTGAACATCTACAAATACGTCCATACCTTAGTGTGTATATTTGTGGGTTTCCATTGCTTCCAGCTGCTGTATGAGGGAGATTGAGGTAGACAGCCTCTGAGCTGTGTGTGCTTTTGAAGGTCAGAGTTGTCCTCTGGCTAACACACAGACACAATTATAGCCATATTCACAGAGAGAGCAGAGCAGGCCTCTCTCTGTAGCTAATGTAACCTCCTCGCAGTGGAAATAGCACACTACTGAGTGCCCCTATACAAGAGGTTTATTGTAAGCCCATAGACATGACATAATCAGTATGATATGTCCAGTAGGTCTCAGCCACCACAGTGACTAATCAGCATGGCGTCTGAAATGTATTTCTATTTCAATGGTTAGCTACAGTATATCGGATCAAACTGTTTGAAATGAATGGTTTGCTTCCCATGGGGTGTGGAGACATCACCAAACACCCTGTTGTGCTTGTATCAAATGCTCTGTTTGGGATGGGCCCTGCAGACATGGAGAGTGATTTGGATGATTTGATTTATTGATCACAGTGCATTATTCATTTACTCGGGAGACTTGAACCTCTAGAATCTGTGAATAGATAATGACCATCATGATAATCACAGCTAGCCAAACTAGTCAGCGATACAGGATACATGATAATCACAGCTAGCCAAACTAGTCAGCGATACAGGATACATGATAATCTCAGCTAGCCAAACCAGCCAGCGATGCAGGATACATGATAATTACAGCTAGCCAAACCAGCCAACGATGCAGGATACATAATAATCACAGCTAGCCAAACCAGCCAGCGATGCAGGATACATGATAATTACAGCTAGCCAAACCAGTCACCGATGCAGGATACATGATCATCACAGCTAGCCAAACCATTCAGCGATGCAGGATACATGATCATCACAGCTAGCCAAACCATTCAGCGATGCAGGATACATGATCATCACAGCTAGCCAAACCAGTCAGCGATGCAGGATACATGATCATTACAGCTAGCCAAACCAGTCAGCGATGCAGGATACATGATCATTACAGCTAGCCAAACCAGTCACCGATGCAGGATACATGATCATCACAGCTAGCCAAACCATTCAGCGATGCAGGATACATGATCATCACAGCTAGCCAAACCAGTCAGCGATGCAGGATACATGATCATTACAGCTAGCCAAACCATTCAGCGATGCAGGATACATGATCATCACAGCTAGCCGAACCAGTCAGCGATGCAGGATACATGATCATTACAGCTAGCCAAACCAACCAGCGATGCAGGATACATGATAATCACAACCAGCCAAACCAGTCCAGAATAAATACACACATGAAGGATGGGAGACTTTCTGTGTGACTTACTGTGAGTGACTATGTGTGACTGTGTGTGTGTGTGCCTGACTGCCTGCCTACATCCATGCTTGTGTGCATGTGTTTGTGACCAGCAACAATGTTCTGTATCTCTCTCCAGGACACGGCAGGACAGGAGCGGTACCGGACCATCACTACTGCATACTACCGCGGAGCCATGGGCTTTATCCTTATGTATGACATCACCAATGAGGAGTCCTTCCATTGTGTGCAGGACTGGTGAGTTCTACTGGGGTAGAAAACAATTTCACCCTCTCAAAGAGGAAAATTCATGTTAAATAGCACAGTTTACTTTATAATTGAAAACTAATACGTGTCAGCATTAACAGCTTTCATCAGCACGTTGGAAGGGCTGCAATTTTGTGTCAGTATTTTGTATCATGAAATACAGGAGGTAAGGAAGCAACTTCAGATGACATGTTTTGTTTTAAGTATTGTTTACATACTGTATATGTTAAAACAAGATTCTCAGAAAGACTACGTATCTTTATGGACAACAGTGTGTTGTTGTTGGGTTGTATTGAGACAGGATGAGTAGAAGATTTCTCCCTGTGAAGAAACAGACCCAAATAGCTGACCTTCATCCCTGTCAGTATCTCCTTATCTAAGCGTATTGATTAGAGTGCTTGTTGTCAGAGAGCCACTGGCCCATCTGTGTGGGGGGGTCCCTGGGTAGGCCAAGGAAAGTCACGAATCGCTGTCTTTGTGAGCCACAAAAGCTATTTCCATCTGAATACTGAGTACCTACACTACCGCACCCTGTACTGTATCTTTCCTGTATCCTGGATTCGACATGATTTATTCCTAGAAATAAGAACGCAAGAGAAGTCAATATCATCAGTCACAATTTTTTTTGTTTTTTTTTTGTTTGTTTTTTTCACCTTTATTTAACCAGGTAAACCAGTTGAGAACAAGTTCTCATTTACAACTGCGACCTGGCCAAGATAAAGCAAAGCAGTGCGATAAAAACAACAACACAGAGTTACATATGGGGTAAAACAAAACAAAGTCAAAAAAATACAACAGAAATACATATATATACAGTGTGTGCAAATTTAGCAAGTTATGGAGGTAAGGCAATAAAATAGGCTATAGTGCAAAATAATTACAATTAGTATTAACACTGGAATGATAGATGTGCAAGAGATGATGTGCAAATAGAGATACTGGGGTACAAATGAGCAAGTTATGGAGGTAAGGCAATAAAATAATTACAATTAGTATTAACACTGGAATGATAGATGTGCAAGAGATGATGTGCAAATAGAGATACTGGGGTACAAATGAGCAAAATAAATAACAATATAGGGATGAGGTAGTTGGGCGGGCTAATTTCAGATGGGCTGTGTACAGGTGCAGTGATCGGTAAGGTGCTCTGACAACTGATGCTTAAAGTTAGTGAGGGAGATAAGTGTCTCCAGCTTCAGAGATTTTTGCAATTTGTTCCAGTCATTGGCAGCAGAGAACTGGAAGGAATTGCGGCCAAAGGAGGTGTTGGCTTTGGGGATGACCAGTGAGATATACCTGCTGGAGCGCAGACTACGGGTGGGTGTTGCTATGGTGACCAATGAGCTAAGATAAGGTGGGGATTTGCCTAGCAGTGATTTATAGATGGCCTGGAGCCAGTGGGTTTGGCGACGAATATGTAGTGAGGACCAGCCAACAAGAGCGTACAGGTCACAGTGGTGGGTATTATATGGGGCTTTGGAGACAAAACGGATGGCACTGTGATAGACTACATCCAATGACCAGGTTTCTGAGATAAACTCTACCAGAATAGTTTAAGAAAGAGAATGTTTTGATGGATGCACTTGACAAAACGATTAAATGTCTCAAGGTGAAACAAAAAGAAAAATGTTTTCTCAATTGTGTAGAGAGAATGTGATTTTGACTACTGTGTTTTTTCTTTGAGTGTACAGTATGGGCGTGTCACATCAACACTAGTGTTGGTATGTTGAGTAGGGCATCTGTGTAGTAAGTAGACAGGTTAAACATCTCTGTTCCCTGTGGTTGTGTAGATCCAGGTGTTGTGGCCAGACGTTGTGACCCCTCCCTCCCTGTAGCATGTTTACACCTCACTGCTGTGGCCTTATCTCACCCTCACAGCCCAACAGGATTATGGGAGCACATAGAGGAAAGGGGCGCTCACGATCACTACGGCAACGCACTGATGTACTGTCGGATGACTAACTGCTAAGAAAGGAAGAAAACACATTTATTTAACAGGCTCTCTGTATGAGACATTGCAATGCAATCTAATTTAACAGCAGCTACTGTAGAATCTTGAACTGCTCTATTCTGAAGTCTTGATACTAGTTAGCTAATGACTGTCATTATCTTGGAGCTGTTCAAATCAGTGAGCTTGTTCACTAAAGCCTTAGCACTTTCTATGAAGTACATACATATAATGCTATATAACATCCTTTATAATGTGTTATAACACTGACTATAAGCATCCATAATAACTGATAAGTGGTAATGAAACCCTGTATGATGTTTTATAGATCATTAACTATAATGACTTATGAGACTATATATTAGGATGTTATAAAGCATGATACATATGTCATCCTTTATTATTCTGAACGAACAACCTGAACAGACTTCTTCTTATGGTAGGCTTTATTCCATTCTTATTTTCCATTATTCTTCCTGGTTAGAAGGTTGAGGGTAAAGATACATGTTTTCCATGGCAACGGCTCGTTCCCTGCCAAGATGTGTGTGAATGAGCTCCTGTCCTGACACACACTAATTTCCTGTGTGTGACGCAGTTGTCTCCGGACAGTGACGGAGGCACGCTGGGCTTATCACAGAAACACTGCTGCTCTCCTGGTTATTGACCATTGAAACACAGAACTAATAATTGTGAGAGATAAACATAGATACCAGTAATTATTTCACCACTAAATATAGGCTAGACTAGAGGAAGATTATAAACATTCAGTGCAAACCCCATTTCAGAGCAGCTGTTTTTGACCAGGATGTCATTGTGAATAATATCATCAGTCAACAGTCAGATGTGAATTGACCTATATCTGAACTCGTATGACCAGTCTGACCTGGACTGAGTAGTGCTGACATCACGGTACACTACTGTGTGCAGATGTTATTGCAGGTACAGCGAAATGCTTATGTTTCTAGCTCCAACAGTAATACCTAGCAATACAATAACAATACACACATAATACAAAAATTAAAAAACAAGAAACTATCAGAACGAGCAATGTCAGAGTCCAGAATATAACTATATATATAAATGGTGTGTATAGACAGTATGGACATAACACAAAAAATTCACAAAACTGCAAAGTTGGCTAGGAGCTAGAAGCAGGACGGCGGTGTCTGTCACCATTCTGTTGGTTTGATGGAGGAGATATGTTGTTGTTTACTGTATCAGCTTGTTGCCTATAGCATTTAGTAGATAGATGCAGTGCTCTGTTTTGAGTTTGAGTTCCTGTTTTCTTCTGTGTGTGTGTATGTGTGTGTGTGTGTGTGTGTGTGTGACTGTGTGTGTGTGTGCAGGTCGACCCAGATTAAGACCTATTCGTGGGACAACGCCCAGGTGGTGCTGGCTGGGAACAAGTGTGACATGGAGGAGGAGAGGGTGGTGGCTGCAGACAGTGGGAGACAGCTGGCAGAACAACTGGGTGAGCTGCTGTCATTTGATTGATCAGGGACACTTTATAGTGGCAGAGATGAAATAATGAACACATTGAATGTTCAACAGTCAGATACGGAGCATTATAATGCGTTAGCTCATGCTGATTCACAGCACTGGTGCCATTGACTTATTTTAAACATAACGTACATCATTTGACGGGCTTTATGTGGACAATTTACTTCTTGTAAACATCATCTACAATGTTCATATACTATTTATCTCCTTCTCTCCCTCGCGATTACTCCGCAGGTTTTGAGTTCTTTGAAACAAGTGCCAAGGACAACATCAATGTCAAGCAGACCTTTGAGCGCCTCGTTGACATCATCTGTGACAGGATGTCCGAGAGCCTGGACACTGATCCTGCCGTTACCACGGGAACGCCTAGCACCAAACTGACAGACAGCGCCCCGCCCCTCCAGCAGCCCGCCTGTAACTGTTAGTGGCTCCTCCCACTCCCTCTGTTGCCAAGATACCCAGTCCCTTAGATATAGTTTGCATCCCAAATGGCACCCTTTCCCTATATAATGCACTACTTTTGACCAGGGCCCATAGGGCTCTAGTCAAAGGTAGTGTACTTTATAGGGAAAAGGGTGCCATTTGCGACTCAGCTGTAGTCTTAAAGTAGGGGTGCACAACTAAGGTCCTGAATGGCTGCAGTAAAGGCAGATTTTCCTCCTTGCCTTTAATCAGAGATTGACTGGTATAGATACTGTAGGTGCACTCTCTGGCCAATCAGTTACAGTAGTCCATCAGTTAAGTGCCAGGATGGAAGGATACCCAGCAGGACTGCGGACTGGAGTTGTGCACCCCTGTCTTGTAGTATTCTGATGTGTCATCTGACCACTTTTTATCATCGTACATCAGCCTGGGTGCCAGTCTGTTTCTGTTCTCTTGCCAACTCCTTATGGAATTGTCATGCCAAACATGGCTTTGCAATGGCAACAATGGAGTTGGCAAGAGCACTGATCTGTGACCAGGCAAGCAATCAATGTATGTCCCTCTATAGCTGTGTTGAGGTACACCTTTACCTAGAAACACAGAGGGTCTGAATATGTCTGATGAGTATGTCTGTGTAGGCCTATTACAGGATGGCTGATGATATGACACTACAAACATGCATTATCCTCTTTAGCTTACCTTACAACATAAAACATTATGCTTGTAAAGGCTGTTAGAATTCAATGTGTGGTCCATGCACTTACTGCACAGTAGCCTTCCAACTGGCTTCAAAGACTTGTAATCAAATTCTAAATGAACCCATAGCTTTGTCAGTGTTTTTAATGTCCATCCTAAAACTTGCCGGACACACTTGCAGGGGATAAAGTTCTAATCAGTGCTTTCATTTGTTTAGCCATCTATTTATGCATTTATTATGTTTGTGTTACATATTGTCTTCTGCCGCAGCCAAAAGCTATTATTCCGTGTACTGTAGACAAACTGGTAGGTGGTAGTTCATTTCTGTTTGCGGTGTGTGTGTGTGTGTGTGTGTGTGTGTGTGTGTGTGTGTGTGTGTGTGTGTGTGTGTGTGTGAGTGTGGCAGTGTGATAAATCTCAATAATTTACCTTGGATTAGTATTTCCAACATGGCCTCTTCTCCTTTGTGCTCACCTGCCACATTTATTTCATATTTCATGAATATACTACATTGTGTCTGTGAGTACTGTATACTGTACATGTGTATTTGTATTAGTAGTCCTGATATGTCATCTGATGAGTGTCTACATTTCGGCAAAACTGAATAGATCCTATTTTCCAAGCCTTATTAAGAAATATGACACAAATGATGTCAAATGACCAATAACCTAAGTTGTGTTGTTCTAACCAGACCCTTACAGTTATCTTTACCCAAACTACAAACCAACCCTTCCCTCATGTCCACTTCCGAATAGAGAAAGAAAATAAAAAATGAACACAGCCAAGATATTATATGTTATGACAGATGGATACTGAAGCCCTGATCGAGTCTGTCTGACTGGATAAACATCAATATCCTCTGAAACAATATTTTTAGGGAGAATGGTGTCAATATTTCATATACCTAAGAAAGTGCACCTTTTCCACATCCCTGAACAGCTTATACATGTAAGAATCATGTTGTTATTGTCTCCATCCTTGGCTGAAGCAAATTGTCCTTTACATATAGTATGTCCTGACAGTCCTGCACCTCCCAGTAAATATAATCACATATTAGGTGAATAAGTACATACATATGATATATGTAATTGTGGCAACAAAAAAACAGTCTGTAGTTTGTTTTGCATCGTCTAGTGTCTTTGGATAGAAAATGAAAGGTTCAAAAAAGAAAAGTTGCATGAAGACATTGAATTATCTATATTTATATCTCTAAGGGTGTATGTTATCTATGTTATAGATATAATTAGAATTAAGTGCATCCTCATAGCTTTGGCTGTGTGATGCAATGGGCCAACAAGTGCAATAATTTATGAATTTATTCCTGTACATAGTCCTTCTAGTACAGTATATCTGCAGTTGTGTGACTGGTCTAATGTTGGTGTTGTACTGTAGTACACTGCAAGCATCACACACACACTAAGTGTGTGTGTATTGTGTGTGTGTGTGTGTGTGTGTGTGTGTGTGTGTGTGTGTGTGTGTGTGTGTGTGTGTGTGTGTGTGTCTGTGTGTGTGTGCTTTATCTGGGATTTGCAGTGAGGTGAAGTAGTGTGTGTGTGTGTTTATTACTTATTGTATGTGTGTACCTTTTCTACTAATGTATTCATGCACTATATACCGTTCCTGCTAGCTAACTGTTGGTGAACTCGTACTATACGTCAAAATGCAGTATTGTGGAAGATAGTCAGGGAAATTAGTGTATGCCATATGCTGTGCTGATATTAAGTCTGTGTTATAAAAAAGGGAAATATCTCAACTCAAACATGATGTTGTCTGTGTGAGATTATTATTTACCTGTACATGAATAATAGCCATTACCATGCTGAGATTGAAAGTACTAACATCTCTACATTCAAATCCCCTGTCATCTACTTCCTCATCTGTGATCATGCATATTCATGACCTCCGCTATTCAGTCCACTGGGCACAGACGTCAGTTCAACGTCTATTCCACGTTGGTTCAACATAATTTAATTGAAATTACGTGGAAACAACATTGATTCAACCAGTGTGTTCCCAGTGGGAGGTGAAAAGCCACTCTATGTTGTTACTGATGAAGGCTTAAGAATAACAATAATCATTATTAATTGTACTTATGAAGTGCTTTTGAAGAACTTGAAGAGGCTTGCTCGCACTCTCATATGCTCGCACTCTGATCACCTCATTAAAGTGTGGACTGATATTAAACTGGATATATTATTTGTACCTTCAAGTGCAAGCAAGCAATGTACAAACTATGTTTTTGAGATGACAGCAAATAAACAAATTGTATTAATGTTGTGTGTATTGTGTTTTTGTGTGTGGAGATCCATTGGCTCCCGCCTTAAGATTGAAGGTGTTCAGCTTCTTGGTGTGTTTTTGTGGTCTCACTCTATTTCTAGAGAAAGTATGCCTATTAATCATGTTTTACAAGTTCTACCCATTCAAGAAAAATGCACCTGTTTTTTCTGCCTGTGTCCTGTATCACCTAACCTTTGGCAGACTGAATGGATGATGATTCAGTGCCCAGCATTAGGGTTATGGCTATGACCATGGGTTGAGGTCAAGTAAAGGGTTGAGGCTAGGGTAGTTGTGTGTGGGTAAAATCACTGGGGAAGCCAAGCCAGGAAAAAATTGCCATATTGTGTTGTGATAATCACGTTGTTTGCCCTATAACCTGTTTGTTCATATGCCTTGACAACGTGATATATAGGCCTATGGCTGAGACAATAAGAAGACACAGTGGCAGAATAAATTCAACCACGGTTGAACCGGGAGGTTAGGGTTAAGGCAAGAGTTAGGGTTGTGGTTGTGGTTGTGGCTAGTGTTAGGGTTGAACCCAGCCTCAACCACAACCCTAACCTTATTTACATTTACATTTACGTCATTTAGCAGACGCTCTTATCCAGAGCGACTTACAGTTATTGAGTTCATAAATTTTTTTTTCATGTCTACATCCCGGTTCAACCCTAACCCTAGCATCAAACCTAACCCTAACCCTAGAATGGTATTATAATGTTCCTACAGCTTTAATGCTAAATGGCAACCCTAAAGTCTAGCCTAACGGCCACACCTCGGTTCAACTCTAACCCTAGCTTCATGTCCACTAAGTAGCAGGACAGAGATGTTGGTCGCCTTAGGTTTTGGTAGATGGCCATTTTCACCACTAGAGGGCCTCCTTTCTGCACACACTTCTAGTCTGGAATAAAACATGTATTGCCAGGGACAAATGCTTCAGAAGTCCTCTTACCACTACTGATCTATCAATAACACATTATCTAACCCAAGCCTAAATCATAACCTTATGGATGGACTGGGACATATTACGTAGATGGACCCAAGGACACTACACAGGTGAAAGACTCTTCACTGCCAAGAGTAAACACACTGATGCCTCCTGGCTCAGATAAACAGACAGATAGACAGACAGATAGACAGACACACAGAGGACATACTTTAGAAAAGGCAAGAACAGTGGAGTTCTTTTTTTATTCTTCACATCTCAACTTGAGCCTTTCTTAATATTCAGATTTGATGGCTGAAGTTGGTTAAAGCAGACGCAGAATGACACCCAGGCTACTGCTAGTTTTATTGCTTATTTGAAAAGTTAGAGAAAAGGTTTTAGATCCACTTTAGTCTGTAAGCATTTCTAATAAACAACAGTTAGCAGAGCCTGATCTAAACCTCATCTCAGAACTATGCTGAGGCCTTCTCCTTTTCCAAAGGAAATATCTATTATCTCACTCCCAACATAATTACAAGACTGTTTTCCAGGCGCTGCACCACCTCTGACTGTCCATTGATACTTTCTTTCACAAAAGAGAGAGAAGTAGGGAGAAATTATTTTATTTATTTCTGCATTGTTTCCATGGTGCATGTACAGACGTGAAACGTGTGGCTGGTCAGAAAACAGTTAATGGCTTCCATGTGGAAGGCTAGAGCAGAAGCACACAGGCACCAGGCTAGAGGAGAAACACATGGGCACCAGGCTAGTAAAGTCCTCTATCAGTTTTAATGACAGACAAATAGGGTTATTTCTGAGGTCAGGGCTTTGCATAACTTCCCAACGGTTTAATCACTTTTATTTTCCGGGATGATTGCCAAGACAAAACAAAAAGGACATTTACCCACCCAGCCACAACACAGCCAGAGAGGAGAGCGAGTGAGAGGCAGGGAAGAGGAGAGGGGCAATTGGCAATTTTTGTATTTTGTAAATTAGGTTGTTCTTCATTTCACAACAGACTAATTAAATAGGTGGTTAGATTATACTTTTATTAAATTGAAATGAAAGTATTCATTTGCAACCATGCACAAAGAATGAACCAGGAATATGATAACGTATTACAATGTCAATATCATGGTTATAATTATATGTTTTTGATACCATCACAAAACCTCAGGTGAATGAACTTGCTAATGTTGCCTTAACTTAAAGTATTGACCAGCTAAGGACAATGGGCCAAATCCTAACTGTGACTTTCTGATCTCGAAAAAAATTGACAATAGTGTTATTACAATTCCAAACATGAGTTTAATCTGATAAAGTTGGTTACAGTAGTTTACAGCTATACAATCCCTTCTGCAGTCTTATCAAGACACACAGTACCAGTCCTTCCTAATACTGTCTCCCTTTGTCCTATACATGTATTTCCCCCCAAATATGGTTGTTTTACACAAACCAAAAACAAAAAAATGATGAAAAAAGTTGTAACTAGTTCTGTAGTGCTTAAAGGGAATGTATCCATGAAGTGAACAATATTCACTTAATGGATACATTCCCTTTAAGCACTGAACAGTCACTGTTAATTCGGTCAACAAATGAAGTAAACAACAAACAACAGCAAAGACAAAGCACAGGAAACAACATGGAACATTCAGGTGAATAGAGCCAGTATTACAGTAGCTGATGCTGGATGTCACCAGAGTCATATAAATATATGGCTCTGGATGTCACTGGGAGACAAATGACATACTTCAAACATACAGTAATGACATACTTCAAACATACAGTAATGACATACTTCTGACATACAGTATGTTAGCAGAGTTCTCCATCATTGTCTAATGCAAGGCATGTTCCCAAATAAAATGACGTGCTCATAATAGACAAGGAGATGGTGATGTAGGTAGAGCAAAACATAACTAATATAGACAAAATCATGATCAAACAAAACAAATCTTTACAAAAACAATTCCACAACATGGGGTGAATTAGAGATCAAAAGAGAAAATAATTGTAAAAATCGAATAATGAAGTAAGCTTTATGCGAACCCATTACACCTTTTTCTTTGTATGAATTAGAGATCAGACTTGATGAATTGATATCGAAAGTAAAATACCTCACAATCTACTGCCCTACAAAGGCAAAATGGAATAACTACAAATTTGGTCAAAAATCTTTGATCTGTTGTAATGGCCAGGTATATTATCTGATTAATGTGGTATTTAGTTTCCTGACACAAGAACAAGCCAGTTGATCAGAATATATCATGGAGTATCAGAAATTGCTGTCTGTCTTGACAGAAAAAGACTGAAGTCAGATTTTGCAGTAAAAGAAAATACGTAGTTACTGCATTTTGCCTTCATAGGACAGTATACAAATGTAGTGTTACTGCCGAACAATAATCTAAAACACGTTTTATAAATTAACCCCAACTGTAGTCAATAACTCACTTCAGTCTTAGCTAAAGAATGAAAACACATGTGAGGAGAGTTGAACTGTAATCATCTAAGCAGCACTGTTATAAAGGAACAATGCTGAATGATATGCATTGGATTAGTATTTAAATGTATTTACAATTATACAAAGTTAAGATCACAACTACTTAATCTGTTAATGAAGAGGCAGGATTATAGCTCATTAAATTAGGTAACTTCTACAGAGATATGATAGCACACATACTGTACATATATACTTAAGTCTATTTACACTGCTAATTTAACACAACAGTTGTAAAGATGATCTATTTGTTAAAGGGAAAACTTTAGGCTTAGACATCTCCCTCAGTAAAATAAGCGACATCCTAACTAACTAAATCTGCATTGTATTATATGAACACAAATGATCTTAAACTAGACAGCTATACAGCACATGCCCTCATAAAGTAATCCTAACTGTTAATGATTATGTACATAGATACAGCAGGTCTGCATGGAAACACCACAGACAGCAAGAAATGCAGCTAAGGGCACGCAAAATCCTAGAGGAAAACCTGTTTCAGGCACTGTATTCCCTTTATCGTGCACTACTTTTGATCAGGGCCCATAGCACTCTGGTCAAAAGTAGCCCACTATATAGGGAATAGGGTGCCATTTGGGATGTAATTCTAGTCTCAGCAGAGAAATGGTTGAATCAGTCCTCAGGTGAGGAAAGAGCATTATTCTGATCATTTAGGATTGTGCAACAGCAACTACAAGTAGATCAGTGTCAGTGCCTGCCTGTCAGTAATGACCTAATTTACACCAGAATCTCTCAAAATGATGCAGAAATTCAACCTGTACTGTTCATTACAAACATAAATATAAGTGTCCCATGCATTTTTATTTTCATTATACCCTAGAGCTATAGAATAATTGCCTTATATACTTGGCATACATTTAGCCCTTAACTATGAACAAATTCAATCAAACCTGCCATAGTAGTGTTTATGCAGTAACCTTGTTTACACGACTACTGCTCATGAACACAACTTATTTCTGAAACCTGAGAGCATCTACAGTACATGTACCTGTGGGGGGAGTTTTGCATTTGTATTACCTGACTACAGAAAAGAAAACATGTTCCTGTGTTAATACATACTACAATGCAGGTTTGAATGAATTGGGGCCTCAGTCATTTCAATCCTTTAGAATCTGTTAGAAAAGGGTTGAAAAATAAATGAAAGAAACAGCAGGTCAGTAGAAAGTCATTATTATCGCTCTCTCTCAGAGCGTTTTTAACCAACTGGCCTTCTCATTTCCTGCCTCTTGCCTTTCAATGTTCTAAAGGCTTCTCATTTGGTAGCAGTCCTCAGCATTCCGCTCTAAACCACTAAAACGTTTCCCTTTTCCAAACCTTCCCCATGCATTTCTCCCTCATTTTATGAAACCATACTTATTTCACAGACATCATCATTGTCGCTAAATAGTCCACAATTTTGCCATTATTATACTTCACTGACAGTTTCCATTCAGGGCAGTTTTAATTACACATGCAAGGCATAAACTGTCTAAAACAATCAAATGCATAATTTAAAGGATAACCTGGGGTATTTGTAGCCTGATCCCAGATCTGTTTGTGCTCTTGCCAACTCCATTGCTGTCCTTGTCAATGAGTAAGAAAGAGTTGGCATGCTAGTAACAACAGACTGGCACTCAGGCTAGGGCATTTACAGTATTTGAACCAGGTTCAGTATAATACAGCACCCCTCCCATCCACCAGGCTGGTCGGGGGTGAGAGGTCAAGGGCTAGAGGTGAGTGGTTAGGGGTTAGGCAGGGGTAGAGCTCTTGTTGTTGCCCAGGCTGGGTCTGGGGTCTACTCTGAGGGGTTTGTGCTGAGGGCTGCTCCTCAGGTTGTCATCCATCTGCAGGAGAACACACACAGTCAGTAGACATACATACAGTGCCTTCAGAAAGTATTCACAACCCTTGGCTTTTTCCACATTTTTTTGTGTTACATCCTGAATTTAAAATGGATTAAATATAGATTTTGTGTCACTGGTCTACACACAATATCCCATAATGTCAAAGTGGAATTTTGTTTGTAGAACATGTTCTAAATTAATACAAAATGAAAAGCTGAAATGTTTTGAGTCAATAAGTATTCAACCCCTTTTGTCATGGAAAGCCTAAATAAGTTCAGGAGTAAAAATGTGCTTAACAAGTCACATAATAAGTTGCATGGACTCACTCTGTGAGCAATAATAGTGTTTAACATGATTCTTGAATGACTACCTCATCTCTGTACCCCACACATATAATTATCTGTAAGGTCCCTCAGTCGAGTACTGAATTTCAAGAACAGATTCAAGCACAAAGACCAGGGAGGTTTCTCAATGGCTCGCAAAGAAGGGCACCGATTGGTAGATGTGTAAAAATAAAAAAAGCTAACTCTGAATATCCCTTTGAGCATGGTGAAGTTATTAATTAGGCTTTGGATGGTGTATCAATACAGCCAATAACTACAAAGATACAGGCGTCCTTCATAACTCAGTTGCCTGAGAGGAAGTAAACTACTCAGGGATTTCACCATGAGGACAATGGTGATTTTAAAATGGTTGTGATGTGAGAACTGAGGATGGATCAACAGCATTGTAGTTACTCCACAATACTAACCTAAGTGACAGAGTGAAAAGAAGGAAGCCTGTGCAGAAAAAAAATATTCCAAAACAAGCATCCTGTTTGCAACAAGGCACTTAAGTAATATTGTAAAAACTAAAAATGTTTTGTCCTGAATACAAAGCATCATGTTTGGGGCAAATCCAACAGAACACATCACTGAGTAGCACTCTTCATATTTTCAAGCATGGTGGTGGATGCATGATGTTATTTTATTGTATTTTAATTTTTTTTGTCATTTAGCAGACGCTCTTATCCAGAGCGACTTACAGTTAGTGAGTGCATACATTTTCATGTGAATACATTTTATGGATATGCTTGTCGTCGACAAGGACTGGGGAGTTTTTTAGGATAAAAATAAACGGAATACAGCTGAGCACAGACAACATCCTAGAGGAAAACCTGGTTCAGTCTGCTTTCCACCAGACACTGGAGTTGCTTACAAAGACGACATTGAATGTTACAGTTTTTACTTAAATCGTCTTGAATGGCAAGACTTGAAAATGTCTTTCTAGCAATGATCAACAACCAACTTGACAGAACTTGAATATTTTTTTTAAGAATAATGGGCAAATATTGTACAATCCAGGTGTAGAAAGCTCTTAGAGACTTACCCAGAAAGACTCACAGCTATAATCGCTGCCAAAGGCGTTTCTAACATGTTTTGTCTCAGGGGGGGTGAATAATGATCTAATAAAGATGTGTTTTATTTTTCATTAAATGTTAGAATATTTCTTCCACTTTGACATTAGAGTATTTTGTGTATATCATTGACCAAAAATGACAATTAAATCAATTTTAATCAAATGTTTTAACACAACAAAATGTGGAAAATGTCAACGGCTGTGAATACTTTCTGAATGCACTGTTTAACACAGTTACTAACCACAATATAAACACACACTCACGGACGCATATACGTGCGAGCGTGCATAAACACACAGAAGAAGTGAACTTGTCTTGATATATACGTACAAAAGTGTCTAACTAATGCCCACAATATACTCCATGACTAACACAACACACACAAACACACATGCAAGCAGAGAAAAGCAGCAGAGAGCAGCAGAACCTTCTCTATGAGGTTGGACTCTTTGTTTACAAGCTGAGTGAGTTTCTGCAGGTTGGCATCCACTGTCTCCTGAACAGGTTGGGGAGACCCTGGAGAGAGAGGGTGGGGGGAGCAGGAACAGGGGAGAGAGAGAGAGAGAGAGAGAGAGAGAGAGACCATTATACTAGAAAGCAGAGAGATACAGAGAGCAGAGAAAAGAGAGAGAGATGCCAGAATGCAGCAGAAGCTCTCCATCACAGCCCAGACAAAGGAAGCGATAAACCGTGTAAGTTTGTCGACGCACCGACACACACACATACATGCACAGACGGTTTAGGTATTGCTCCTGTTGCAAATGACAACCTGGCAAAAGTTGTACATCCTGCTTTGCGAGACCTGAAGTTCACCAGATTTTCCCTGCCACGTTCTATTAAAAACACAACCGGCTCTCTGTAACCCTTACCCAATACCCTGGACCTGAAGCAATCATCAACATATAAACAGCCGAGGCTGACTGACAAACACACACACACACACGGCAGAGCGCTGGTCTCACCGGGATGACTGCTGAAGTGAGCGTTGAGTATGTGGTCACAGAAGCGCTGGAGGTTGTCCAGCTGTCTGAGGTGGCTCTGCAGAGGGCTGCTGGGTAGACTAGCCTTGTGGAGGGGAGCTACAAAGCCAAACACAAACGCATCCAGACTGCATGGCCTGGGCCACAGAGAAAGACAGATACATTAATACACCACACATAATATAATCACACCCAGCCTAATCTAGCATCTGACCAAATTACACAAGAACTCACGTGTTCCCAAAGAAGTAGTAGGCCGTCCCCAATCTGTGGGAAAGCAGATTCAGACACTCCTTAGCTTCACTGTAGATCTGACGATAGAGGGGATGGGGAGAGGTGAATTTACTTAGAATGCAGGGGTGGGATATCGTATGGTATCAAGTAGTCCCTGCAGTGTGTGTTCCTGTCCTACCTTTCCCTCCACCTCAGTGATGGTGTGTAGAGGAGACTCTCCCTTGGTCAGCAGGATCCGGGACAGGGCCATGCTGGCATGGCGACCAGGGACCAGGAAGTTGAGGGGAAAGGGAGAGCGGGAGGCGAACCACGGCCGAGTCAGGTTAGCATAGTTCTCAGCATCCACCCAGAACGTGTGTAACTACAGGACAACACACACACAGAATACATATTTAGAATACAGTACACAATACAGGGCACATAACACTCAGTACACAAACAAAAACACTCTGCTGCACTTTCAAAATGTGTCTAAGTGTAAAACAACATACACACCCACAACAATCAGTACACAACAACTACTACACACACTGGTTGTTCCTACCAGGGCTGGTCGTAGTTTCTCCTCCAGTAGAGCGATGTAGGCCATGGTGTCTGCTCCCTGCCTCGCCGACAACTCATAGTCTGCATTAAACCTCTGGTAGACAACACACAGGCTTTGTTGTTAGCGCTGCACCGCAAATATAGTTCTTAAAAAGGTAATTTATGGTGAAGGCAGAAAGGAGACTTTACCTGTTTTCTCAGGAAGTTGAGAATCTGAGCAGGTTCGGTTATTGTGGATCCCTGGCAGACCAGCTCTGGCACCGTGCCTGTAGTGTTGGATAGAGGGAAAACAGTGTGCCTGTAGTGTTGGATAGAGGGAAAACAGTGTGCCTGTAATGTTGGATAGAGGGAAAACAGTGTGCCTGTAGTGTTGGATAGAGGGAAAACAGTGTGCCTGTAGTGTTGGATAGAGGGAAAACAGTGTGCCTGTAGTGTTGGATAGAGGGAAAACAGTGTGCCTGTAGTGTTGGATAGAGGGAAAACAGTGTGCCTGTAGTGTTGGATAAAGGGAAAACAGTGTGCCTGTAGTGTTGGATAGAGGGAAAACAGTGTGCCTGTAGTGTTGGATAGAGGGAAAACAGTGTGCCTGTAATGTTGGATAGAGGGAAAACAGTGTGCCTGTAGTGTTGGATAGAGGGAAAACAGTGTGCCTGTAGTGTTGGATAGAGGGAAAACAGTGTGCCTGTAGTGTTGGATAGAGGGAAAACAGTGTGCCTGTAGTGTTGGGTTGTGTCTATCATCCTGTGCCATATGTCATGGACTATACAACTACAGTAGAACAGGAATAGAGACAACACCTCTCACTGACAATGTGCTATATGTATAGTAAGCAGTCAATTTGATACTCTTGCATCAGATAGTCATTTATCTATTCCTACCTAGTAGCCTATTGATCTTTTTTACATGGTGAAATTACAAATAATTATGATGGTATTACTTGTCTAAGAACAACTGAATTCTGTTTCTTTGGACTTTAAAACAAGCAGCAGTACCTGTCAATGTCTTCCACGTCCAGTCTATGGGAGTTACTATGATCTTGGCTCCAGAGAACTTGGCATAGGCCTGAGAGAGAGCAGAGATATGTTAGTTGTTCAGTGGATTGACAAGAAATAAGAGTATTAACCACTTTACTGAACAACACTTTATTATAAAGCCTACATAATAATAACCATGAGTAATGGTGGAAGACATTAAGGTCATTTGTCATGAACTGTCCCTTGCTCTAGCCAGGCAGGATCATAGCAATGTTATCAGAGTATTATGTGCTTTCATATCAATGTTGTCAGAGTATTATGTAGGCTTTCATATCAATGTTGTCAAAGTAGTATGCTTTCTGGGGTATGGCATGTTAAGCTCTGTAAGATATGAGGGCTGTGACAATACCAGTATCGCAATATTTTTTCCATGCCAAAAATTAAACCACGAAGCACACCAACGTTTTTGGTCCTTTAAAAACCTGTATGTAAAAGATTGTGTGCTATAGATTGGAAAATAAATACATTTGACTCTAGATGACAACTTAAACTAAGCAGTTTTCCCAAAAAAAGTTAAAGTAAAACTTAATTTGGATAGTCCATCTGTAGATGCTCTACTATAGACTATCAGTAACATTTCAACTAACTATCTACTAACCCTAGCCCTAACCTTAACCCTTATCCTAACCCTTACCCTAACTCTAACATTAACCCTTACCCTTATTATAAACCTTACCCTAACCTTAGCCAGCATTTGCTTATCAACAGATAGTCAGTTGCTTATCAACAGATAGTTTGTTGATAGAGCATCTACAGATGGACTATCCAAATAAAGTGTGTCTGAAGTTAAATCCGCTTCGCGTTTTGTTTCCTTGCCACGAAACTAACGCATATGGCGATACTGGTATCGTCCCGGCCCTACAAGATATCACTAAGTATCATTTGGCATTGGCTCTAGTTCTAAAAGCAGACTATCAGCATGGTGGGTAGCTGATTGGTAAGCACCAAGAACAACAGTACATATATGGCAGTCCTAGTGGACAAGTGACAGTGATAACACACATGGCAAAGTATAGCCATATCTATTGACTAAAAAGAGACGACATTTAACAATCTGAGTTCTTTGTATCTCATACAAAGAACTTAGATTGTTAAACATCTTCTCTTTTTAGTCAATAGATATGGCTAGGCAAAGAGTAGCCCAGAAAGGGGGCTGTGAGGAAAAGTGTAGTCCAAACAGAGGAAGTGCAGAAAACATGTAGGCCTATAGTAATCATGCAAAATTGTTTTGTTGACACTGTCAGCCAGCAAATGATCTGGCAGCTGTAAGCCTTTTTCAACAGGAACGGTGTCACCTTGTGATGAGAGCTTGTGCAAATTCTTTGCATTGTTCATACAGTATCTGCAACTAGCCTATAGGGAACGGGATCATGCAAGTGTCCTAGTAAAATAGGGATATGTTCAAATTAACTACTGGGCTACATAACTACACAGTTAAGCATAAGAAGACAGGAGAATGGTCGTACCGAGGACAGTAGTAGTAAATCGAGAGAGAGCTGACCTTGAACTTGAAGAAATGTTAGCAATGAGAATGGCATCTGACAGCTATTAGCTACTGTAGCTAGTTAGCTACAGCCAGTTAGACATACCGGACAGTGCATGTTGTTAGTTGGTTCAAGTTTTCATTAATAAAAGCCTCTAAAAGGCTAGATGATTAGATAAAACAAAATATCAAATATCGATTCTACCACTAATATTTCGCTAACTTTCCAGTTAGTTAACGTTAGCTAGCTAAAATAGCTCAGTCTTGTTGATGGTTTTGCATCATCGTAATAGGTGAAGATTGTCAAATAAAACAATGAGGAATGCAGCCATGCAGTACATTCGTGACACAAACGTCATATCATAATTTTGTTTTTTATGAACGCATTTACCAGCACTATGAGAGACTCTGTGTGGACGGAAGGCAAACCCCAATCACCTCCCCAGCATCTCAGCTCCATGGTGGCCGCCATGTTTGTTTGCTGCCGTGAACAGGAAGTGGGTGATGTCTTCGGGTACCCAGAGGCCCGCAGGTGTGGTCTCCAAATGTAGATTTCAGTACTTTGCAGGTAAAAATTAATAGTCTATTCAAAGACTTGTCATTTTCTACGACAAACAGAGACTGATGTGTTTGTATTTATTAGGCAAGGCAGCAGCTACTCATCCTGGGGTACAAACACATTAACGTACTTACATCCAGTGGTTAAGTAAAAGTACTTTAAAGTGCTACTTAAGTCGTTTTTTGGGGTATCTGTACTTTACTTTACTATTTATATTTTTGACAACTTTTACTTTTACATCACTACATTCCTATAGAAAATAATGTACTTTTTACTCCATACATCTTCCCTGACACCCAAAAGTACTTGTTACATTTGGAATGCTTAGCAGGACAGGAAAATTGTCTAATATACATACTTATCAAGAGAACATCCCTGGTCATCCCTACTGCCTCTGATCTAGCGGACTCATTAAACACATGCTTCGTTTGTAAATTATGTCTGACTGTTGGAGCGTGCCCCTGGCTATCCGTAAATTAAAAAAACAAGAAAATGGTGCCTTTTGGTTTGCTTAATATAAGGAATTTGAAATTATTTATACTTTTACTTTTGATACTTAAGTATATTTTAGCAATTACATTTACTTTTGATACATAAGTATATTTAAAACCAAATACTTTTAGACTTTTACTCAAGTAGGATTTTACTGGGTGACTTTCACTTTTACTTGAGTCATTTTCTATTAAGGTATCTTTACTTTTACTCAAGTATGACAATTGGGTACTTTTTCCACCGCTGCTTACATCACACACAAAAAAACAGTGCACCATATAACATTATTACACCACTGCATATCTACAATACAAAATGTATAATACCACCATGCAACAACATTACAATGTACGTGTGTGTAGAGTGTGTGTGCTAGCGTGTGTGTGTGCGTATGCATGTGTGTGTGCCTGTGTGTGTGTGTCTCTTCACAGTCCGCGTTGTTCTGTTTTTTAAATATGATTTTACTGCTTGCTTGAGTTACTTGATGTGGAATAGAGTTCCATATAGTCATGGCTCTGTGTAGTACTGTGCGTTTCCAGAAGTTTGTTCTGGACTTGGGGACTGTGAAGAGACCCCTTGTGGCATGTCTTGTGGGGTCAATACCTCTCACAAAGACAAGTAGTGATGCAGTCAATCTCTCCTCTACTTTGAGCCAGGAGAGATTGACAGGCATGTCATTGATGTCAGCTCTCCATGTACATTTAACTGTAATTTGCCTATGTCCCTCTTTGTGGCACTTGACCATATGACTGGGCAGTAGTCCAGGTGCGAAAAAACTAGGGCTTGTAGGACTTGTTTTGTTGATAGCAATGTCAAGAAAGCAGAGCAGCTCTTTATTACAGACAGACCTCTCCCCACCTCAGCTACCGTTGCATCATTATGTTTTGATCATGACAGTTTACAATCCAGGATCACACCAAGCAGTTTAGTCTCCTCAACTTGCTCAATTTCCACATTATTCATTACACAATTTAGTTGAGGTTTAGGGTTTTAATGAATGGTTTGTCACCAATTACAATGCTTTTAGTTGTTCACTTATTTAATACTAGCATATTACTTGCCACCCATTCTAAAACTGACTGCAGCTCTTTGTTAAGTGTTGCAGTGATTTCACTTGCTGTGGTAGCTGACGTGTATAATGTTGAGTCATCAGCATACATAAACACACAGGCTTTACTCAGTGCCAGTGGCAGGTCATTAGTAAAGATTGAAAAAAGTAAGGGGCCTAGACAGCTGACCTGGGGAATGCCCGACGTTACCTGGATTATGTTGGCGAGGCTTCCATTAAAGAACACCCTCTGTGTTCTGTTAGACAGGTAACTCTCGATCCACAATATAGCAGGATATGTAAAGCCATAACATATAAATTTTTCCAGTAGTAGATTATGATCAATAATGTCAAAAGCTGCAATGAAAACGAACAAAACCGCTCCCACAAGCTTCTTATTATCAATTTATTTCAGCCAATCATAAGTCATTTGTGTTAGAGCCGTACATGTTGAGTGCCCTTCTCTATAAGCATGCTGAAAGTCAGTAATTTTCTTACTGTGAAATAGTATTGTATCTGGTCCAACTAATTTTTTCCCAAAAGTTTACTAAGGGTTAGTCGCAGGCTGATTGGTCAGCTGTTTGAGCCAGTAAGGGTGCTTTGCTATTCTTGGGTAGCGGAATCAGTCAATCAATCAAATGTATTTATAAAGCCCTTTTAACATCAGCAGATGACACAAAGTGCTATACAGAAACCCAGCGTAAAACCCCAAACAGCAAGCAATGCAGATGTAGAAGCATGGTGGCTAGGAAAAACTCCCTAGAAAGGCAGGAACCTAGCAAGAAACCTATAGAGGATCCAGGCTCTGAGGGGTGGCTAGTCCTCTTCTGGCTGTGCCGGGTGGAGATTATATGAGTACATGGCCATTAAGGCCAGATTGTTTTTCAAGATGTTCAAACATTCATAGATGACCAGCAGGGTCAAAATGACTTTTGCTTCCCTCCAGGCCAGAGGGCACACACTTTCCTGTAGGCTTAGATTGAAGATATGGCAAAATATTAGTGGCAATATAGTCTGCTATAATCCTCAGTAATTTTCTATCAACGTTGTCAGACCCAGGTGGCTTATCATTGTTGATAGATAACAATACTTTTTTCACCTCTTCCACACTCACTTTACGGATGTGTGTTCTTCAATGAATGTCCTTCTGTTACATTACAACCTGCAGGGCCTGTATTCATCAACTGCAGCTCAATGACCATAAGACCTATGATTATGTCCTATGTTGTTGATGTTTATGAGTACTTTATGAGGGGGTAACTCCATTACTAGGAAGTTACATAGCAGAACAATTATGGCAGTCAGACTTGACACTGATCTAACTCTACATGTCCATGCATATGACAATGGACTCTCCATGTCTTAAAATAGTAATTATTTTAAAGGTGGTTTTCTACTACAGAACATAGGTCTCCTGGGCCCTATATCTTTATAAGTAAATATCATAAATAATTTTATGTAGAACGCTATGTCCAGGAGAAAGAATGTGATGTATTTATTGGACATTTTATGACATGGTCATGCATTGTGTAATTTTCAGTAACTCTTATTCCTTCCAGCTGGTTTTATCTGTATGAGATTTTACCCCTGAGATTTTTCCCTTTGTGTCATAGGCAAAGGCTCCAATATGGCATCCGTCCAGCACCTGATGGGAATAGGGTGGGCCAGTGCCCACAGCCAGAACTGGTATTTGGGTGAACTGAACTTCGGACACTTGGACACTTGGACACTTCAACTATAGGAAATGGTTTGATTATCTGATAGATTTAATTTCTCTCCCTTAAAAGACTTCCTGGTCAAAGAAAGGTAAAATAAAATGAGAAAATAGAAAACCAGACAGACCAACACACAGAACGTGTTAAATGCATCTGGGAATGGTGAATGTCTGTTTTTCTGAAGCCTCTAAGATGTAGAAATATATTGTGGTTACCAAAAGGAGCTCAGAGACAGAGATGAGTACCAGACTCTCAACTTGAAACTCCTCCAGAGTTAGAAACCGTCTTAAGGTCCAAGGTCTGGACATCTCCCTCCACACACACACACATACACAAACACACACAACATCTCTTTAAAAACCCAGTCACTACAGGAACACTGAGACATTACCCTCCCCTTTCAAAACCCCTCTGCAGCTACAGGAATGTAGGAACACACCCCTCTACTTTAAAGTCTGGCCCCTTTAAAAAGCCAGTCTGTAGCCACAGGAGAATCTCACCTCTGCTACTTGGACTCTGCTTTCAACATCTATCTATCAGTCAGCACCAGGGGCATTTTAAATAGATAGCTGCTGTATTGATCCCTGTCTGTAGGACCAGGTGTATTGTGTAGTAGCTGTGACGGTGACCCAGCCTGGGCTCTCAGGACTGGTTTGTGCCGAAGGCTGAAAACTAGGAAGTGTGAGGATGGGGGTGTGGATCAGAAAAGTGGTCTTCTCTCTGCTGATGCTACAGCTGGCCACGACTGTCACAGCACAAGGCATTGGTGAGTACCTCAACCTATCACCTATCAATACCCCTCTTTGACCTATCAAAATGCTCTTAAAGTAGCACACCAGTAACCTTTATTTGTTGTAATACCTTATCAATATACTCAATCTGTACCTTCTTAATCTATGCAATCTGTAACTTCTAAATCTACACCAAATCTGAATCTCTAACCTTGCTTCTCTGCTGAATCTGTCATTTCTCCCTTAGTCATTAAATCATGCATTCTGCAGTGATTTTCTGATTACGATGAAGTATAATGATATATTTAGCAGGGGCTCTGTTAAAATTATTGCCTTTAATGGGTTTGGGTTTAATGCATTGTGTTGTGGAAAAGGCTGCATACTTACACATCTATCGATAGGGTGACCCAAATAAGCCTGCTCTGGGAAAGTAGAATGACACTGATTGGCTTTAGGAAAGTATTTGAGCAATAACTTAATTTCTCTGGAATCCATACACATCAATTTTTCCATACAAACACACATTTCTTTGTATTATTCCAGAATTTGGGTCATGGCTGAAGCAGCAGTGGATTTGTTCCAGCGGAAAGAGTTCACTGCTGGCCCTTTGGTCAATCTGCCACTTCATAAAACAGTGGCACCACACACACACACACATGCACAGTCTACCACTTCATAAAGCCCTGACACTCAGCAGGAGCAGTTCTACAGCTCGTCAGTGATTGCCACAGGCATGAAGTCACACACTTACTAAACTCACTAATAACAGTCACACATGCATGCACACAGGCACAAACACATGACTTCTGAATAAATGTTGCCTCTGTGTTGTCTGTGTTTCCTGTGTTAGTGTACGACCTGCTGGTGTCTCCAGACTGCCTGCCTGACCTGACGCAGGGAGGGCTGAAGAATAAAGGTCTGGATGAGGCCTTCCTCCTCTCCTCCTTCAGGCTCCACAGCAAATCCCCCTCTCATCTCTACAGCATCATCAACCCCAGGGACAACAGCAAGTACCTGGAATTCACCCTGCAGGCCAAACTCAACAAGGGTAAACACTGCCATGCTGCCTGTCTCAATTTACAAACATGATCATACATCTAAATCAAATCTCTCTCTTTTCCTCCTTCTCTCCCTTCCTCTTTAAATATCATTCCTATGCAACTAACTGAACTTTCCCTCAGTGACGATCCGTTACCAGAAGACTGATGGTAGGGCTGGCACCACCAGTTTTAACCACCCCTCTCTGGCGGACGGCAAAGAGCATCATGTGATGATCCATGCCAGCGGTCTGCAGAGAGGACCAGGTCGTATGGCGGTCTACGTAGACTGTAGACTGGCTCACACTGTGGACGAGCTGCCTGCTGCCTTTGGGACGCTAACACCTGGACACAACTTGGTGGCGCTTAGGACCCTGCAGCCAACCGGGCAGGTGAGACACAAGACTAGCATAGATACAGATGAGTAAGATTTTTTTGTGTTATCACTCACCAACCTCTTGTCCACCTGTTTCTGTCAGGATGAGTTGACGGACCTGAAACTGGTGATAGAGGACACCTTAAATAACGTTGCTACACTTCAGGACTGCAGCATGCAGCAGAGCGAGTCTCTGGGTACTATTCAGCTACTGGGTAAGAACACAGGCCTGTTGTAAAGGCTATCAGGCTGCCTGAAACATGTCTTGACTGTTTCTGATGTCACATTGTGGGTCTCTGCCATACTGTACATTTGACCCACTTGAGACCCGCATTTCGACATAAGTTAGCATAAACCATCAAGTCATGTAGTCTGTATGATGGAACATAGAAATACACTTTAGCTAAACTGTAGCTAAAGATTGCATTTCCCACAGGCCTCCAGGCAGGCGGACAGGACCCGTCTCAGATGTTGGCGCTCAACAAGATGATGTCAGAGATGAAGGACCTGCTCCTCCAACAGGTACATCTCCTGCCTTACAGTAGATATGATGTTGTACCCTCACCTTTTAAGGCACCACCATGTATGTCTTTTTCTCTGTATCTACAGTAAACTGGTATTTTCTTTCCCCCTAAAAGATTAAGGAGACCACATTCCTTAGAAACACCATCTCAGAGTGTCTGGCATGTGGTAAGCTGTTCTCTTAGATCTATTACTACTAATACAATGCTACTGTTACTGCTTAGGACTAATGATTTCTGATAATAATGAATGACTTACTTATATGCATGCTCTTATTTTAACTGTCAACTGAAACCTGATTAATAAAATACTGATGAGACTGATACTGATTGAGGATACTCAAGTTATGTGCGTTGTTATACTATACATGCGTGTGTCTCTGTCTGTAGGTCTGAGTGGCAACATGGCGTCAGGCCCAGGTACAGGTGCACGGCCAGGCCCGTCCCAGTGTAGTCCAGGTGTGTGTTTCAATCAGGACATGTGTATCCCGGCCGAGGGAGGACGCTTCACCTGCGCCCCCTGCCCCGACGGATACACTGGAGACGGAGTTTACTGTGATGACGTGGACGAGGTAGGGGGGTGTGTGTGTTACTGGGTCAGTTGAACCTTTAACCCCTACTTCCCCAGCGTATGGTGTGAACACTAACGTGTGTGTGTGCGTGTGTGTTGCAGTGCCAGTTTAACCCCTGCTTCCCCGGTGTGAGGTGTGTGAACACGGCTCCTGGGTTCCGCTGTGAGAGATGCCCTCTGGGATACACTGGTCTTGAGATCAACGGAGTGGGAGTGTCCTACGCACAGTCACACAAACAGGTAACGTATAGTCACACAAACAGGTACCACACAGTCACAGAAACAGGTACCACACAGTCACACAAACAGGTACCACACATGCAAATTGCTTATAAACAGTAATAGGCACACGGTATAGAGTGTGTTATACTTAAGAGAGCTGCTGTTATTGTGCCTTGTTACAGTCAGTGGTGTAGTGGAGGGTATACGCAGGTATACACCATATACCCACTTATTTTTGTGGGCATTGCACATACTCACTTCTTAATACCCACAATGACTATCAGAGTAGTGTAGTGGAGGTATACGCTGTATCAATTAGTAAGGCTGATGGAACAGATCAGAATGCTTAGCTTAAAATGTTGATCAAATATTATTTATTCTCATTTTAAGTGCAGCAATGTGCAGATGGCTACGCGCAAATGTTCCAAAATGCAATTTGCAGGTAAAAAACGGTCTATAATGCGCACCACACATGCGAGCGGTTTCATGGACAGAGATTGAAATATACGTTTGAAATTTAGAAAGAGGTTAAATCTAAAGATGCAACAACAATCATGTGTTGCTAATATGAATAGGATCATGCCTTTGGCTGCAAGACAATGAAAGAAAGTTCATTTGAAAACCAATAGAGCAGGAGAGCACATATGAGGAAGTCTTTATAAAATAATTGCCTCCACGTTTCTATGGTGGGATTTTGGTTATAGGCTACTTTGAAGCAACGCAAGACATGCGTCATAATATGAAGTAAAACATCCAGGTTTCAAACAATGAAGGAAAAGGAAAGATATAGCGATTCTAATGACAGGCCTAACTGTCTTCTGGTAGATGGAAAGGCTTTCTCAAAAACCTTCTCATTAAATGTTAACTAACTACAAAGTAGCCTATGCCTACCTGACATAATGGTATCATGATTATTTGCATCAATCCAGTAGCCATTTGTTTTGCAAACTTGTGCGCTACAGAAACACTGCTAACCAAACAACAGTGCTATACACTACCGGTCCAAAGTTTTAGAACACCTACTCATTCAAGGGTTTTTCTTTATTTTTACTATTTTCTACATTGTAGAATAATAGTGAAGACATCAAAATTATGAAATAACACATATGGAATCATGTAGTAACCAAAAAAGTGTTAAACAAATCAAAGTATATTTTATATTTGAGATTCTTCAAATAGCCACCCTTTGCCTTGATGACAGCTTTGCACACTCTTGGCATTCTCTCAACTAGCTTCACCTGGAATGTTTTCCAACAGTCTTGAAGGAGTTCCCACATATGCTGAGCACTTGTTGGCTGCTTTTCCTTCACGCTGCTGTCCGACTCATCCCAAACCATTTCAATTTGGTTGAGGTCGGGGGATTGTGGAGGCCAGGTCATCTGATGCAGCACTCCATCACTCTCCTTCTTGGTACAATAGCCCTTAAACAGCCTGGAGGTGTGTTGGGTCATTGTCCTGTTGAAAAACAAATGATAGTCCCACTAAGCCCAAACCAGATGGGATGGCGTATCCCTGCAGAATTCTGTGGTAGCCATGCTGGTTAAGTGTGCCTTGAATTCTAAATAAATCACAGACAGTGTCACCAGCAAAGCACCCCCACATCATAACACCTCCTCCTCCATGCTTTACAGTGAGAACTACACATGCGGAGATCATCCTTTCACCCACACTGCGTCTCACAAAGACACGGCGGTTGGAACCAAAAATATCAAATTTGGACTCCAGACCATGGGACAAATTTCCACCGGTCTAATGTCCATTGCTCGTGTTTCTTGGCCCAAGCAAGTCTCTTCTTCTTATTGGTGTCCTTTAGTAGTGGTTCCTTTGCAGCAATTCGACCATGAAGGCCTGATTCACACAGTCTCCTCTGAACAGTTGATGTTGAGATGTGTCTGTTACTTGAACTCTGTGAAGCATTTATTTGGGCTGCAATTTCTGAGGCTGGTAACTCTAATGAACTTATCCTCTGCTGCAGAGGTAACTCTGGGTCTTCCATTCCTGTGGCGGTCCTCATGAGAGCCAGTTTCATCATAGCGCTTGATGGTTTTTGCGACTGCAAGTTCTTGACATTTTCCGTATTGACTGACCTTTATGTCTTAAAGTAATGATGGACTGTCGTTTCTCTTTGCTTATTTGAGCTGTTCTTGCCATAATATGGACTTGGTCCATCTTCTGTATACCCCCCCTAACTTGTCACAACACAACTGATTGGCTCAAACGCATTAAGAAGGAAATAAATTCCACAAATTAACTTTTAAGAAGGCACACCTGTTAATTGAAATGCATTCCAGGTGACTACCTCATGAAGCTGGTTGAGAGAATGCCAGGAGTGTGCAAAGCTGCCATCAAGGCAAATGGTGGCTATTTGAAGAATCTTAAATATATTTGGACTTTTTTGGTTAATACATGATTCCATATGTGTTATTTCATAGTTTTGATGTCTTCACTATTGTTCTACAATGTAGAAAATAGTAAAAATAAAGAAAAACCCTTGAATGAGTAGGTGTTCTAAAACCTTTGACCCGTAGTGTACACTCAAAAATAAAAATGTCTTAGATTTTTCCCAAACCTCAAAAGTGGTCTCCTGATGTGGTTTAAGCATTGTTGTGGACTTAAAACTTCAAATGTTGTTGTTTAAAAAAAAAAAAGAGCGAAAACCCCTCCAAAAAGGGAAAATCAGAAACCTGTGAATTTCTGACACAGTTGACAGCTTCATTGATCAATTTCAACAGTAGGCCAACTTGCACAGTACAGCTTGGGTTGGCCTGACTGTGAAAGACCAATAAGGATTGATCATTTTAGGTAATTCAGAGTGTATGTCACTGTTTGTCATAGAACTTTTCACACAGGGCGCCTTTCCTTTGTCGGGCGGGCCCTTTGGGAATTTCTACCCACTTCTCCAAGCAAATTTTTACCCACTTCTCCAAGCACCACTACACCACTGGTTACAGTGTGTGTGTGTGTGTGTGTGTGTGTGTGTGTGTGTATTCCTCTCCATGTGTGTCTGTAGGTGTGTGACGACATAGATGAATGCCAGGGTCCTCCTGACAATGGAGGCTGCACCGCCAACTCTCACTGCCACAACACCAGGGTAAGAGTCACAGCAGCTTGAATATTCCCATTTAAGCCTGTTGATAGTAGGCCTGAGTTGAAGCCTGGGCCTGTATTTGTTGTCTCTCCCAGGGTTCATTCCGCTGTGGGGAGTGTAAGAGTGGCTTCTCTGGGGACCAGGTGAGGGGCTGCAGGGGGGAGAGGCTCTGTGGGAACGGCCAGCCCAACCCCTGTGACAACAATGCACAGTGTGTAGTGGAGAGAGACGGGAGCATCAGCTGCCAGGTGAGAACACACACGTGACATTAATGTGCAGTCAATCTAAAATCTAATCCAAAACCTTTCCTCTTCCGCCCATCAGTGTGACATAGGGTGGGCAGGTAACGGCTATGTGTGTGGGAAGGACACAGACATAGATGCTTATCCTGACGACAAGCTGAGGTGCAGGGACAACAGCTGTAAGAAGGTAAAATCCAGGTCATCTACTTCTCTACCTCTCCCTCTCCTTCTACCTCTCCCTCTCTCTCACCCTCTCCCTCTCCCCCTTAGTAAGGCAGCCTCCATGTTTGTTTCCAGGACAACTGTGTGTTTGTTCCTAACTCTGGCCAAGAGGACGCAGACAGGGACGGGCTTGGGGACGCCTGTGATGATGACGCTGATAGTGACGGCATCGTTAACATAGAGGTACACAACGTATAGTATATTCACAAGCAGGTAGGATACACCTTTAACACGTGCAGTAACCCTGTCTCTGTGTAACTCAGGATAACTGTTGGCTGCATCCTAACGTGGACCAGAAGAACAGCGATAAGGATCTCCATGGCGATGCGTGTGACAACTGCTTGACGACGGAAAACCCTGATCAGCGGGACACAGACAAGGACGGGCTAGGCGATGACTGTGACGATGACATGGATGGAGACGGTGTGTGTGTGTGCGTGCTTTGACATGCCTTCCCCAGGCTTTGGTCATTAGAGAGTTGGAGACAGAAGGAAAGTGTACCACAGCTAGTGATTTATTTTAAGGTAGTGACTGTAGCAGTACTTTGTCACATTAAGACGTCTTTATCCATGACGTTAAGATCTATTTTCCAAAACCACAATTAGTCTGAGGTCAGTTTAGCTGTCTGGTTTAAAACAGCATGTCTCCTGTCTCTAGCGGTTCCAGACTTGATCATTGTCTTCAACAGAGCGGAACCATATCTGTTGAATCCATTCACATCCTCTGTCTGTATCAGTCTGTCTTCCATCAAAGTATTTTATTGATTAATTTTTTATTATTTTTTTTGTCATTTATCAGACGCTCTTATCCAGAGCGACTTACAGTTAGTGAGTGCATAATCTTTTATTATTATTATTATTTTATTTTTTTCATACTGGCCCCTGTGGGAAGTCTTCTACCTATTAGCTCATCTCTTTACAGGGAAAACAGGAGCTGGGGTAGGGTTCAGCCTCATAAAGTTCAAAACACTAGTAAAACATTGGTTTAAATGAGTTCCCATTTCTGATTATAATTGATCCATTTGGAATCGTAGCTGTTGTTTTATAAAAAGCTCTGATTCTGAATGATGTGCTCTTTAGCTACTAGATTACCCTTTAAAAAAACCTCTCATTTGTTCCATTGGCAGATGCAGTGAAAGTGTACCCCGGTTTATTGTGTGTGTGTGTGCGTGTGTGTGTGTGTGCGTTTGATGTTTCCTGTCTGTGCACTGGGGCAGGTCTCCAACCCCTTGATCGTTTGGTCATGTCTCCCCCTCTAACACTGAGCGCTTGGTCATGTCTGTCTCCTCTGATTTTTTTTTCTCCCATTCCATTATAAACCCTGCCAGCAGCTGAGAGCCAGTGGAAACTATTCACCTCTGCCCTAAACAAACACTGTCATCTGGAGCCCGAGGAAACTAACACTCAGACTAGAAAAAGAACTGTGTCTGTGTTTTCATCTGTGTGTGTGTTTTGTGGGCAGGCCTGAAGAACATTCTGGATAACTGCCAGCGTGTGCCCAACCCAGACCAGAGGGACCGAGACAACGATGGGGTGGGAGACGCCTGTGACAGCTGTCCTGACATGGTCAACCCCAACCAGGTAACCGTAAAACAACAACAACACAACCACAACATAACCATAGCACAACTACAACACAACCACAACACAACCATAGCACATCACAACTACAGCACTGCACTGCACAACACAACCACAACACATCCACAGCCACAACACAACTATAGCACCACCACCCACAGGTCAAATATCCTACCAAATATCAAACCTTTACCCCAACCCCAGACAGAAACCCACTGTTAATGTAGCCAGTAGCCAGTAACAGGGTAGTGCAGCCTCATGAGAATATTGAATAATATTTATGTTTCTTCTCCCACAGTCAGATGTTGATGATGATCTTGTAGGAGACACATGTGACACCAACATAGACAGGTAGAGCCTTCTATAAACACATCCTCACCTTTAGAAGTGATACTTACTGATAGTGAGTGTACTGGGTTGACTTTGACTCTCCTCTCTATCAGTGATGGAGATGGTCACCAGAACACTAAGGACAACTGTCCTACAGTCATCAACTCCTCCCAGCTGGACACAGATAAGGACGGACAGGGAGACGAGTGTGACGATGACGATGACAACGATGGTATCCTGGACCAAGCAGACAACTGCAGACTGGTGGTCAACCCTGACCAGACAGATGAGGACAGTCAGTCACAACACTGATCCTCTTCCTTCCTGCTGTATTATAGCAATGGTCTCTCTAGTCTAGTTGTTCTTCAGTGTGTGTGTGTGTGTGTGTGTGTGTGTGTGTGTGTGTGTGTGTGTGTGTGTGTGTGTGTGTGTGTGTGTGTGTGTGTGTGTGTGTATGTCACAAAGAATTAGCTGGCTCAATGATGGATTAATGTACAGTACACTAATCCGGCATGTACACTACCGGTCAAAAGTTTTAGAACACCTACTCATTCAAGGATTTTTCTTTATTTTTTACTATTTTCTACATTGTAAAATAATAGTGAAGACATCAAAACTATGAAATAACACATATGGAAAATCATGTAGTACCCAAAAAAGTATTAAACAAATCAAAATATATTTTATATTTGAGATTCTTCAAATAGCCACCCTTTGCCTTGATGACAGCTTTGCACACTCTTGGCATTCTCTCAACTAGCTTCACCTGGAATGTTTTCCAACAGTCTTGAAGGAGTACCCACGTATGCTGAGCACTTGTTGGCTGCTTTTCCTTCACTCTGTGGTCCGACTCATCCCAAACCATCTCAATTTGGTTGAGGTCGGGGGATTGTGGAGGCCAGGTCATCTGATGCAGCACTCCATCACTCTCCTTCTTGGTAAAATAGCTCTTACACAGCCTGGAGGTGTGTTGGGTCATCGTCCTGTTGAAAAACAAATGATAGTCCCACTAAGCCCAAACCAGATGGGATGGCGTATCGCTGCAGAATGCTGTGGTAGCCATGCTGGTTAAGTGTGCCTTGAATTCTAAATAAATCACAGACAGTGTCACCAGCAAAGCACCCCCACACCATAACACCTTCTCCTCCATGCTTTACGGTGGGAAATATACATGCGGAGATAATCCGCTCACCCACACTGCGTCTCACAAAGACAAGGCGGTTGGAACCAAAAATCTCAAATTTGGACTCCAGACCAAAGGACACATTTCCACCGGTCTAATGTCCATTGCTCGTGTTTCTTGGCCCAAGCAAGTCTCGTCTTCTTATTGGTGTCCTTTACTAGTGGTTTCTTTGCAGCAATTCGACCATGAAGGCCTGATTCACACACTCCTCTTCCATTCCTGTGGCGGTGCTCATGAGAGCCAGTTTCATCATAGCGCTTGATGGTTTTTGCAACTGCACTTGAAGAAACTTTCAAAGTTCTTGAAATGTTCCGTATTGGCTAACCTTCATGTCTTAAAGTAATGATGGACTGTCGTTTCTCTTTGCTTATTTGAGCTGTTCTTGCCATAATATGGACTTGGTATTTTACCAAATAGAGCTATCTTCTGTATACCCCCCCACCTTGTCACAACACAACTGATTGGCTCAAACGCATTAAGAAGGAAAGAAATGCCACAAATTAACTTTTAAGAAGGCACACCTGTTAATTGAAATACATTCCAGGTGACTACCTCATGAAGCTGGTTGAGATAATGCCAAGAGTGTGCAAAGCTGTCATCAAGGCAAAGGGTGGCTATTTGAAGAATCTCAAATCTCAAATATATTTTGATTTGTTTAGCACATTTTTGGTTACTACATGATTCCATATGTGTTATTTCATAGTTTTGATGTCTTCACTATTATTCTACAATAAGAAAGAAAGAAAGAAAAACCCTTGACCGCTAGTGTATGTGTGGTGTGTGTGTGTGTTCCAGATGATGGTGTGGGTGATGCGTGTGCAGGGGACTTTGACCAGGACAAGGTGATTGACAGGATAGACAACTGTCCAGAGAACGCTGAGGTCACCCTGACTGACTTCAGAGCCTATCAGACGGTAGTACTGGACCCTGAGGGTGACGCCCAGATTGATCCCAACTGGGTGGTTCTCAACCAGGTGACCTTATCGTCTTATGACATTTTAGTCATCTAGCAGATATTGAGTAACGATAACAGTTGTAGAATCAAAGAGTATGCAAAATAAGAGCATAAAGTAAACCATTCGTTCCTTGATTGAGTTATTTGATTAATTTTGATCAATGCTGTGTAGGTAGTGGAGTTTTCAGTAGTATGCCATCTGTAGTATCATAACTCTCTCTCTCTCCCCAGGGTATGGAGATAGTCCAGACTATGAACTCTGACCCTGGCCTCGCTGTAGGTATGACAACTGTCAGTTTCCATTTGACAGGCAGATGTCCACCCTCTCTCTGCCACCTGTGCTGTCTGTGTAGGCCCCACATTGTTCAGTGTGTGTGTATGTAATAAGCCTGTGTGTGTGTGTGTGTGTGTGTGTGTGTGTGTGTGTGTGTGTGTGTGTGTGGGTGTGTGTGTGTGTGTGTGTGTGTGTGTGTGTGTGTGTGTGTGTGTGTGTGTGTGTGTGTGTGTGTGTGTGTGTGTGTGTGTGTGTGTGTGTGTGTAGGCTACACAGCGTTCAGTGGGGTGGACTTTGAGGGGACGTTCCATGTCAACACGGTGACTGATGATGACTACGCAGGCTTCATCTTCGGCTACCAGGACTCCTCCTCCTTCTACGTGGTCATGTGGAAACAGACTGAGCAGACCTACTGGCAGGCTGTACCCTTCAGAGCTGTGGCTGAGCCTGGCATACAGCTCAAGGTAAAAATACAAATAAATAGTCACATACGCCAGATAGGTGCAGTGTTGTTTTACAGGGTCAGTCATAGTAGTACAGTGCCCCTGGAGCTAATTAGGGTTAAGTGCCTTGCTCAATCGCACATTGACAGATTTTTCACTTTGTCAACTCGGGTATTTGAACCAGCAACCTTTCAGTTACTGGCTCTAATGGCTAGGCTACCTGCTGCCATATAGGTCTAGGGTAGCTATAGGGGTGTGTGTGCGTGTGTGCAAGCTCCCATGTGTTTTACATAGTGATCAATCTCAAAAGGCTTCTGACCTTTCTTTGTTACCTTATCCTACCTCTTCCTCCCTCCTTCAGGCAGTGAAGTCTAAGACAGGTCCAGGGGAGTATCTGAGGAACTCCCTGTGGCATACAGGAGACACCAATGACCAGGTACGTCTGCTGTGGAAGGACAAGAGGAACGTGGGCTGGAAGGACAAGGTGTCCTACCGCTGGTACCTACAGCACAGACCACAGGTTGGATACATCAGGTGAGAAACACACAACCACCCACCCACACAAACGCGCACACACCCACACACACTATAGTCTCGAAAACTCAACCCTAGGCAACACAGTGACTAGGGTCTGGTTTCAATGATGGACTCTTTTGTCATACAGGAACTACGTCACTGGCTATGTCGATAAGAAAAAAAAAGAGGAACGTTTACAGGCAAAAAATCTTTGCTGTGGTTTTAGTTAACGTAGCCACTTGCGAAATGCACTCGTTAAAAATAACCTCCATGATCTCTATCTTTCTAGTTATTATTTTGTATTTTATTAAAGCAGATAAAGTAGTGATGTAGCCAGTGACGTAGTTCCTCTATGCCAAGAGTCCATCATTGAAACTAGACCCTAGTCACTGTGTTGCCTAGGGTCGGGCTTCGAGACTACACACTCTAACACACACACACCCACACAAACGCTCTGAACCATGTGTGTGTGTTGTGTTCAGGGCGCGTTTCTATGAGGGTCCTAACCTGGTAGCAGACTCTGGGGTGAAGATAGACACCAGTATGCGAGGAGGGAGACTGGGCGTCTTCTGTTTCTCCCAGGAAAACATAATCTGGTCCAACCTCAAGTACCGCTGCAACGGTGAGTGACAGCCCACTCAGCCAACTAGCAGACAGATACAGAGACTAGCCCCGGTCACAGCACTCCGATAGGATAGAAGCTGTCTAAGTATTGTCATTGAAACAGGATGTTTAAGTCAACACCTCTCTGTTCTGTTTGTCCCTCTACAGACACCATCCCTGAAGATTACCAAGAGTACAGTGCCCAGAACACTGAATAAACACACCCAGCGTGGGAGAGGAGAGAAGGAAGGGAGGAGGAGGAGAACAGGACAATGAGGATGGGACAGAGAAGAGAGGGGGAGAAAGAGAGGAAGAGGGAAAAAGAGGAGAGAGGAGATGGGAGAAGGGACCAAGCAACATTATGCAGGGCATTATTAGAGGAGCAAGGCTTTTAGAGGGGCTTTTCACAAGCAATCATCCCTTTTATAAAAGCATTATTATTACTGCTAGACTTTTGCCTGGGATGAAGACTGATGTCTACTCATCAGGGCAACAGACTTCCAGACATGACTTGTTAATGCTGTGTCTACACACGCTATAATGTAGTGTACATGTGGAATTTGTTCAACTAAAAGACTGATGTAGATTGTAGTGAAACCTGTATATGTCGACTATCTGAGGCAAGGGTTATTGTATCTAGGTGTTCAAACTGTAGTTAGGGTCTCTCCTCTTTCTGCCATTGGAGGAAAACTGACAGAGACAAGGGGGATAGATTAAGGAGCTGTATTGACTGCCCTTACATTAAAACAACCAATGTCCATCATACGCTACATTCAATAGATGTGTCATATAGCACATTTTCTGTTCAGTAAATCTATGAATAAATATTCTGAACATTTGATAAAACTCCCTCTCTGAGTCTTTTGTTTGGTGTGTTACTAAATCGAACAGATTGCTAGTTGTTGTTGAATAGAATGCAGTTGGATTTCTTCCCCAAGGCACTGTACTTCAAGCTGAGGCTATCAAGATCACTTAACACAAACAAATTTAAAAGGTGTTCGTTTTATTTTTTGTTTAGGACAAAATCAAACTGTGTACAGAGAATGAGTGTGAGCAGTGTGTTTGGAAACATGCACACGTACACACATACACTCAATGTTCTTCTTCACAGACCAAAATTCACTAACGCAAAGTGCTCCTCTGCAAATAAATGAGACAAACACACTCACATTCCACTCACACTCCTGTGCATTTACATTTAAGTCATTTAGCAGACACTCTTATCCAGAGCGACTTACAAATCGGTGCATTCAACTTAGGATAGCCAGTGGGAGAACCACCCCCTTTTTCCCCTTCTTTTTTTTTATGGGGGGGGGGGGGGTAGAATGATTACTGTTAATACTATTCCAGGTATTCCTTAAAGAGGTAGGGATACCTGGAATAGTATAACAGTAATCCTTCCACCCCCCCCTCCCCCACCCCCCCATTTCAAAAATTAAAGGAGAGGAGCACTTGCGTTAGTGATTATCTTAACAATGGAGAACAGAAAATGGACCACAGCATATCATGTATGGCAGCATACAGCCTAATCAGAAGGTTTGGTTTGATCCCTAATGATTCAACATGAGGTTGACCTGAATGTGTAGAGCTGAGCTGCAGTAGAGCACCATGTCATGTCCATCTGGCTCATTCACAGGAGCCATGACAAAACACAACTAGTCTGAAATGACATGTGTAATAGCATGTATAATAGCAAACAGTAACTGATCAGTCAACACATGTTTTACACCAGGGTCCCAGTCAATTCAGCATCATACAGTACATTCAGTAAATGGAAGTGAAATTCTACTTCACAATTATTATAATTTTTTTATGGAAGCTTTTAATTGTTTAATTGAAATTCCAATACCCTCCATGACATCACTGAATGGATAATGAATTGACCCTAACCCTGTACACATCCTATCCTTCTAGATGGGTTTAACCCCTTCATAACAATGAAGAAACTTCAGTCACAGTGGAAACTTAATGGCATAAATATGCATCAACAAACTCATCAAACTGCTGGCTCATAGGGTTATCTGATTATTATTTTCAGCGAACTCCACTGATATTTAGCTAATCTGAAATGTAAGGAAACAAATACATACATCTTCAATATCACAATTTTCAAGTTGTTTTTCTTCAACAAATACCAAATACCATTATATTAAACCAAAGTGTACATATTTCATATTAGTTTCAAAAGGGTTATATACTGTAGGGTTGTAAGTATAATAGCTGAAAGGTTTGGAGTTTCTTGCTCCCTGTCAGGCAAGTCTTGGTCTGGGTTTGTTCAGTCAGTAACATCAACAACCAGTGTTGAGTAACCACCACTACACACTAAGGTCCCGGTTCATGGCCCATATCCCCCTCCCCTTCTGTTTTCAAACACCTGAAAGGGGCTCTGTACGTAACCCTTCATTAGCAACAGGCAACAACAGAGAGCACACCAAGGAAGTTTCTAGGGCCGAAGAGTTGGAGGATTGTGGCAGTTATAGAGGGAGAAGGTACTCGTGTGAAAAACTTGAGCGTGTCCATTCCTTGTTTCTGAGATCTACCTTTGGCAAACGTTTAAATCAAACTGTTGATTTTCCCCTCCATGATGCAGCTACTCCTCCCTCCCTTCAACAGTAGTGACTCTCTGGTCCAATAGTCCTCTACCTGCCCGCCAGCACTCTGCTAGTCAGACAGGCTTGTTTGAAAAACACAACACTGTACAAGAAATGTGTGTGTAGAAACGACAAATGTTCTGGCTCAAAAGGAGCGTTGATATAATCTATCCTATTTACTTCTAATTAACATGTTTCACATGACAGGCAAATCAAATCAAAACAGCTTGTTTAATTGCATAGAAAACGTTTTCTACAAAAGGGTTCAATAACAAGCAAGCAAGACACTTCCAGCTGATATATGAGCCTGAGAAATGGAACTTCTTTTCATGGGAATAAAATAACAATATGGAGGTCTGGGTCCATCACGGGAAAACAGAGACAAGTATGGAAAACACACATGTAAGCAAACATGTAAACAGGGTTCAAATGACATTGGTGCTGGACACTCCCATAACAGATGACATTGGTGCTGGACACTCCCATAACAGATGACATTGGTGCTGGACACTCCCATAACAGATGACATTGGTGCTGGACACTCCCATAACAGATGACATTGGTGCTGGACACTCCCATAACAGAATCAGGGTACCACTATGGCCATGGGGAGCCACACACAGTATTGTATGAACATTGGTCCAGCCCATTGTTTTAGGCAGCCCCAAGAGTCAGTCTATGAGTCCAACCCTGAATGTAACTCCATACATCAATGGTAGTAAAAAAGAAAGACATCAACTGCCTTCAAGGCAAAAATAGCTTAACCATGTAAAGTATTCATAACTGGTAAAAAAAAGTCAATAAAAAACAGTTAAATATTAAAAACAAAAGGCAACACAAAAAACCCATGTAGAAAGCTGAAAGTAGTGTTGGGCTGTGTTTCAGTGTGTGTGTGTGTGTTAGGCCTCAAAGCGTTTAGGGCAGACCATTGGGGCGAGCAGGGTCCACATGTAGAGGATGAGACAGACCCAGCAGGACGCCATCTTGATCCAGAACACAGACCAACTGCCATCTAGCAGCTTCTCTATCTTATGGTTGTCATAGCTACGGGAAAACAAACATAGCATACTCTTAGCTTTATACAACATTTAAATTAGCAGAATAACTACAGAGACATACTCAAGTTTCCCTAGTAACTCTACTACTAACTGGGACCTAGTTAAAGTTTTCCCAGTAGGCGAACTCTTCTACTAACTGAAGCTATAATTAAAGTTTCCCAGTAACTCTTGTACTAACTGAAGCTATAATTAAAGTTTCCTCAGTAACTTTTCTACTAACCGAAGCTATAATTAAAGTTTCCCCAGTAACTCTTCTACTAGCTGATGTTTCCCAGTAACTCTTGTACTAACTGAAGCTATAATTAAAGTTTCCTCAGTAACTTTCTACTAACTGAAGCTATAATTAAAGTTTCCCAGTAACTATTCTACTAACTGAAGGTATAATTAAAGTTTCCCAGTAACTATTCTACTAACTGAAGCTATAATTAAAGTTTCCCAGTAACTATTCTACTAACTGAAGCTATAATTAAAGTTTCCCAGTAACTCTGCTACTTACTGGAACCAGTTGGTGACAGTCATCATGACGTAGAGTGAACCCAGGAAGAAGACAAAGTGGAAGTAGGTGTAGCTGTAGATGGTTCCCTGTTTCTCATCATATAAAACGTTTTGTCCTCCTCCAGTCTGCTCCTCATCATAGTCATCTGGACAACACAACCACAACATCACAGCAACGTTATTACCACCTTACATCATAATCACAACCACAACATCACAGCAACATTATTACGACCTTACAGCATAGTCACAACCACAACATCACAGCAACGTTATTACGACCTTAAATCATAGTCACAACCACAACATCACAGCAACGTTATTACGACCTTACAGCATAGTCACAACCACAACATCACAGCAACGTTATTACGACCTTACATCATAGTCACAACCACAACCACAACATCACAGCAACAATATTATGACCTTACATCATAGTCTTAACCACAACATCACAGCAACGTTATTACGACCTTGCATCATAGTCACAACACAATCACAACCACAACACCCCGCCCCCGGTCTCAGTCTCCAGTATCTATGCTGCAATAGTCTATGTGCCGGGGGGCTAGGGTCAGTCTGTCCTATCTAGTGTAATTCTCCTGTCTTATCTGGTGTCCTGTGTGATCTTAGGTATGCTCCCTCTAATTCTCCCATCCCTCTCTCTTTCTCTCTCTCCCCTCCCGGAGGACCTGAGCCCTAGGACCATGCCTCAGGACTACCTGGCCTGATGACTCCTGGCTGTCCCCGTCCCCAGTCCACCTGGTCGTGCTGCTGATCCAGTTTCTGCTGTTCTGCCTGTGGCTATGGAACCCTGACCTGTTCACTGGTCGTGCTACCTCGTCTCGGACCTTCTCTCTCCCTCTCTCTCTATACCGCACCTGCTGTCTCGACTTCTGAATGCTCGGCTATGAAAAGCCAACTGACATTTACTCCTGAGGTGCTGACCTGTTGCACCCTCTAAAACCACTGTGATTATTATTTGACCCTGCTGGTCATCTAGGAACATTTGAACATCTTGAAGAACGATCTGGATGGCCATGTAGTCTTATCATCATCACTCGGCACAGC